TGGAACTTGCTTTCTTTATGAACATTTCTTTTTCTTTGGTGTTTATTGTTTGACAATTACTGCCAATTGTTTTCATGGTCCCTTCCTCCCAACTCCTATTAACATTCTCAACCAGCATCCACAGTCCCAGGGTCATGTCATATCTTTGAATTAATCATCCATGCAGCTCTCCATTCATCATTCCTAAAAGTGCAGAGAAAAAGGCCAATAAAGCAAAAAGTGTGTCTGCTATTGCTAAATGCCATAGCTGGATTTACAGGCTAAAAGACAAGGAAAAGCACTAATAATGCACGATTATTTTAATCTGAGAAATGTGAATGACGGTAGAGAACAAGTCCACAACAAACTTTACCTACCGTCGCGTTTGTCACACCGTAGGATTAGATAAGTGCGCAGCTTTACCAGTTCATAGTTTACGCATATTTATCTGTATCGAAGTCAATATTATATTCATTCAATTATTTCTTTTTTCTATTCTATGTTTCTGCTCACCTGCCGGCTGCTCATGGACTTAATCCAACGCCTCTCATCTTCACTTTATTCATCTAATTATATATTTTGACATATTAAACTTCATAGGAGCCTTCATCAGTTTTGCAATTTTAGTCGTCCACATTCTAGAGGCTTACACGCGTGGAATAGTAGTTGGCACTTGGCACGTGTAAGGGATGAGGTGAAAAATCATTGTGGGGCAGCCGGCAATGTTGCAAAAGTGGACCTTTGCATGTTCATCACATTCTTTTACAATAATTTTATAGTCTTTTAATTCTTGCCTAGTAAACGGCCTGCCTTTATCAAAACCATCGTCTTTTCCGCCAAAATAAAAACCAAGCAAAAAGAAAAAAAAATAAAGTCAAAAACCAACAATCCAACCGCCGACCACATCACGCTCCATGTTTCTTGTATTAAAATATATATAAATTACGATTTGGATTATTATTTCCCCCTTTTTTTTTTATTGGAATGTAAAAGGGCAAACTCTATCTTGTGCACAACTTGTGCTTTCTGTAATCAACTACTGCTATACCTTCTTCTTCAATCCAAAGACTTGAGAGCTAACCGTCTCTCCTTCCATTCCTATTCCCATTCCCAGATATCTCTTTTGCGAAAGTCCTCTGAAGATTTTCTTCTGATTCTTCCAAATTTTCTGATATTGTTTCGTCCTTCATGGCCGTTTCTCCTCAGGTTTTCCCCCCAAGAAAGCGGCGGCCGTCGGCGGGATCCTTCTTATCTCCGAAATTAACAGACCTAAGCCTGGTACAGTCTCTTCTTTCTTTGTCTCAAGAAATCTATTCCCTCAAGCCTCTTCAGTTTCTTCTAAAACGAAACTCTCTTTCGACCATAAACAAAGCGAAGCTTCTCGCCATCTTATTCGAGGAGCTGCTTCGAAATCCTGTTTCTAATTTCTTCTCTCCTTCAACCATCCTCTGCTTCGAAGAAATGTACATTGTTTTACAGAGAATAAAAACTCTGATGGAAGATTGTTCCAATGGAAGCAAGATGTGGCTGCTCATGCAAATTCAACCTTTGGCTAACAGTTTCCACGAGCTAACCCTGGAATTATCCACTCTCCTCGATATTTTCCCTGTAAAAGAAGTTGATTTGAGTCAAGACGTGGAGGAGCTCGTCGTTTTGGTAAGAAAGCAGTGCACGCAATCAAAACCTTTGATGGATCCAAGAGACGATTTTCTCAGGCGAGAAGTTATAGCCATGCTCGACCGGATCAAAAAAGAGATCGTACCAGATCATTCAAGGCTCAAACAGATTGTCGAGAATTTAGGATTACGCGACAGTTCAAGTTGCAGAGAAGAAATCGAGAGTCTCCAAGAAGAAATTCAGAACCAAACAAATGAAAAATCCAAAGCAGATATTGTTTCTTTGATCGGTCTCGTTCGTTACGCTAAATGTGTTTTATATGGATCTTCAACGACGCAGAAGTCAGACCACCGCCGTCAAAAATCGATGTCGGATATTTCTATTCCTGCAGATTTTCGGTGTCCGATAAGCCTCGAGCTGATGCGGGACCCAGTTGTCGTGGCATCGGGACAGACGTACGATCGAGAGTCGATCAATCATTGGATTGAATCTGGACACAACACGTGTCCTAAGACAGGTCAGACCCTGGCCCACATCAGCCTCATCCCAAACTGCGCTTTAAGGAATCTTATAGCAATGTGGTGCCGTGAGCAAAGAATTCCGTTTGAAACCGCGGGAAGTAACCAAAAAGTTAACGGCGTTAAAGCCACCAAAGCTGCCTTAGAAGCTACAAAAATGACGGTGTCCTTTTTGGTCAACAAACTTTCGGTTTCTCAATCCATGGAGGCGGCCAACGGCGTCATTTACGAGCTCCGTGCCCTTGCCAAAACTGACTCGGATAGCCGAGCCTGCATCGCCGAAGCTGGAGCTATTCCCATTCTCGTCAGATATCTAGGTTCGGCTGTAGGCTCCGAGCTCCGGAATCTCCAAGTCAACGCCGTTACCACCATTCTTAATCTTTCTATCTTGGAAGCAAACAAAACGAGGATCATGGAAACAGACGGAGCTTTAAACGGCGTCATTGAAGTGTTACGTTCGGGCGCTAGCTGGGAGGCCAAAGGAAATGCGGCGGCTACAATATTCAGCTTATCAGGGGTGCACGCGTACAGGAAGAGGCTAGGGAGGAAGACACGTGTCATCAAGGGACTGATGGACTTGGCGAAAGACGGGCCCAGTAGCTCGAAAAGGGATGCGCTGGTGGCAATTTTGAATTTGGCGGGAGATAGGGAGACTTCTGGGAGGTTAGTTGAAGGAGGGGTGATAGAGGTGGTGAGCGGAGTCATTAACGAGTTACCGGAAGAGGCGGTGACAATACTCGAGGCAGTGGTGAAGAGAGGTGGAATGCTGGCGATTGCGGCGGCTTACAGTGCCATCAGGAAACTGGGCGTTATTCTGAGGGAAGGATCGGATAATGCGAGGGAGAGTGCGGCGGCTGCTTTGGTTACTATATGTCGAAAAGGGGGGTCGGAGATTGTTGCAGAGCTGGCGGCAATTCCTGGGATCGAAAGGATTATATGGGAGGTGATGGGGACAGGAACTGTGAGAGCGAGACGGAAGGCGGCGACGCTGCTGAGGATTCTTCGGAGATGGGCCGCTGGTGTGGATATTAATGCTGTGGACAGTTCGAGCATGATGACCACCACCGTCGGTACATCTAGAATAGTGTTGCCAGCATAAGTGGATAACATTTATTTCATTCTTTTTATCTTTTTTGCATCTTAAATTTGTAAATGATTGATGGAAATTTCTGATATTCTGCATTGCAAGTTAATTGTGTAAATTACTCAAATGAAAGATCATTCTTTGATAGTTTATGTATCTTGGTGTTACAAAAACTCTCGCAAATTTTGATCCTATATAAAGTCAAAGTTACTTGGTTTTTGTTTAGTTGAACCAAGTCGTGATGGTGGCAAAAGAGAAGACACTGATTTCTGCATATAATTAACTAGTTGAACGAAGACAAAAGCTAGCTTGATTTAGGCAGTTGCAGTCAGCAATTAAAAGTAATTGGGGTTGTTGTCCTTGTGCAATTGTTATTATATACCCCGATGTAACAAGAGACAGGGATGTTCAGTGGGGAAAAGGTAAGAAAAGGAACAAACAGAGAAGAATATCTGGCCTGTTTTCATGATGAATCAATTACAAAAAGGTATCTAAAAATAAATGGAATGTCAAATGTCTAAAAATAATTAAAATATTATATTATCAAAGTCTACAAACCTCTAATGCGAAACCCTGTAGAATAATTTGAAAACACACACACACACACACACCAACATAACAAGGCAATCCTACGGATAAAAGACTATAAAAGTTAACTGGACAGGGACAGCCCATCTCTGAAACAAGAGCATAGTAAAATGAGGTGAGCAATGAAAAAACAGCAAGAAAAGAAGGCAGAGGTTGTGATAATGCTTGCAGAGAAACTGCAGTGGTGATGTTGCAAGCAGAGACACGTCAAAAGATGTTAGATCTTCAACTTATATACATATTAAGTAATGACAATTATTTCATGGAAAGAATATTTAGCAAAGTCAACATTGTCATGAAAAGGAGATTGCAATAAGGTCAATGCGCCTTGCATTCCAGCTTAGAGACACGTAATGGCTGCAACCAAGAAGCTTCAATTGCTTAAATTTTAATTTACTTTCAAGAACTCATCCCAATCATTTCTCTTGCATCGCTTCAAAAATCACTCTTTGTAGTCGGGATTTCAAACAAAGGGGGTCAACCTTAAATAAAGAATGTAACATACAAAAAAAATTATTTAGCATAATTTATGTTATGCTTTACATTATCTTATGAAAAGTATAAAAAATCCTATTTGACATATAGTGTTATATATATAGACAACATACATAAATGAAAATAACTTAAAATCACTACTGAAAATGGAGGAAAGTATATATCTTTATTCGAAATTGTGCACAATATTCTTTCATGAAAACGAATCATCAATCCAAAGTTTCAGCAATTTTTTGAAATAATATTTTATATAGTGTTTAGGGTAAAATAACAATTAGATGAAGTGAAGACAAAATATTCCTACAACAATCAAACAATTACTAAACTAATTTCTTAACATACATATAATATAATGCACAAAGTTTGTATCAATAGCAAATATAAAATAATTTCAAGTGACTTATATAATGAAAAAAAATGAAATAAAGCAATTTTCCTCATTGTATAAAAAAATATGGGTTTTATTTTCACTTTTTATCCCGAAATAAAATCCAAGTAGATTATTTTAATCTCTAATCATACATGTTATACATCAAAATTTGAAGACTTTAATAAATTAATATTGATAATTTTACCAAATTTAGAAATTAATTAATAAAAAAATGAATTGATAACTTATTATTAATATATATCCACAAGACAAAAATGTAATAGTCCTTCCACCAAAAGAAGTTTTGACCACATTTTGTAGTGTGATTTTGAGAGGGTCTCCTATACCAATGCCATTCTACAGTCGAATAATGGGAGGATTATATAAATTTATCTGCTTCATGATCATATTAATCATCGACGCCATATTCGTATCTCAAGCCTTGTGCACCAGGGTCAGACTCTTTGATGGTTTTCTCAAGCTTCCTGTCTCAGATAGTGTTCTTACCTCAAAACCAGGACTTGTTCCTGTACCTTCCTCACCCAAATTTCCAAGTTCGGCCATCAAAATGTTAGCCAACTACTCTCACGGAAACAGCATCCCAGGTACCAACCATTGGTCCTTAGCAAACGGACCAACAGTTAAAGTAGCTAATGGAATTTTCGCAGCTCCCTGCTCAAAGATTCCTCCTGCTTACTTTTCTTGTTTTTTTAAGCTCAATTCAATTCAATTCAAATTACATAGATATAAAATTAATTAGTTTTATACTCTCTTATAATTTTATTGATAATTAATATTTTCATAAGTCGATCTTTAGATTTAATAATTTATGCATATTTATATTGTAAGTCAAACTTCAAATCAATGTGGTCTCTTATGATATCGATCGAGTATGGTCAGATACAGGCATTCCTTGCATTAACGAAACAGTCCTCCCAAGTCCTAATATCTTCAATTGGGCCAGATCGTCCAAACGTCTATGGGTTCCGCCAGCCCTTAACTCGGGGAACACTGTTATGGGCCAAAAGGCCCATCCATAATTGTTCTAGTACGCTTAACTGCATGTCAAAAAAAGATTCCTGCAACATACGCAATCCCAATCTAGGAACCAAACGTCCTCGGTTTGACAAAAGGATAAACGCCCTGAATTTATTCTTTGTCCAGAGTCAAGATACAAACAATGTACCATTAACTACATATTTTAGGCAGGACAAAGCAATCAATCACTAGGTCCACACTCCAATTGATTAGAGGTTGGACACGCTTACAGTACCGTCGACCAGTCGTTATGTTCCTCCAGCGAACATGCATGCCTAGGGTACCAGTTGACCAAATCTCAACGTGCATTAGAAGGAACCCATCTATCTGAATTCTATAGTTATAGGCTATGAGCTTTTGTAGTCTGATATAATTTTTCCTTGTAAACCTGTTGAATTCATAAGTTTCATGGCAGATACAAGCTGCTCTAAGTGGCAATTAAGTCCGTTAATACCATTTACTATCCAATCTTGGCTAGTCTTAATCCAAGTTGTTGCTATATGCTGTCTTGTACGGTAAATTTGTAATAAATCAAATGTGTGAGTGATAAAAGACAGATGAACCTTTTGTCATAATGTGTAGATACCGTACCATCAAAGCTTTAAGAAATTTCTCATGATGCATTAGGACACAAACATCAGTCTCAGAGGTGGTCATGGCACTGGAAAAAGGGTTCCAGATTGCAGTTCTTTCATTTTGCTACTAATTAAGGATGTCCAGAATTCGGACAACGATAGGATAAGCATCCAGCATCACACAGTTGATAAACCAATGCCACCTTTTCTTCTCGACCGGTATCTACAGACTACAATAATGCCCCAGGAGTACCACCGTATACTGCTTTTCAAGGCCCATCACTACTTTCGTAAGAGAGTTAATGTGCATCGCGACCTTTGTGTTTGTTGCGATTCACAATTTTGTCCTTTTTAAGGACTGATGATAACTGCATTCACCCAGATAAACGATCCTTTACAAATTATTCCTTCCATTCTTAGACAAAACTCTCTGCTTGCATGGGTTAAAGAGAAGAGATTACATGTACCTAAACACACCACAAGTTCACATACATTAATGATGCAATGCAAAGAGAATAATAATTTAATCACCCACTCCAGTTCTAGTCTGATTTAGAGGAATTGGTTGCAATTGCAATGATATATATTTGGGCTCTGAAATCAGTCAGAAGAATTCAGGTTGCAAAGCTCTGAAATGGGCTTATTTATCTAGTAGTTTATTACTCTTTGATATGAAAGGAGCAAAATTAAAGGCCGAGTGTGCACTGGATTATTGCAAATCTGGATTGATGGGCCACAGAGTTTTGTATGTTAGACGCATATAACGCTGAGTTCCAATGATCTCCCTCCCTCTCTCTCTCTCTCTTTCTCTCTCTCTCTCTGTGCACTCCCCAAAGCTGCTTTAGCTGCTTTCATTTCCCTCTTAACAGTCGATTTCTAAAGCTGAAAGCAAAGTGCTAGTAATGGGCTAAAAGCATTGATAAAATAGGCTATCTATTAGTGTGTACTAGAGCAGCAAATGCAATAGCACATAAAAAGCTGAATATGAAGCTGGCTTTTTCCTAAGCCCCAATCCCTTTCCTTGTTTACATGCGGGTGAACAGAAAAGAGGTCGTGGGGTCAATCCAAGGGCCGGCATGTGAGCCACGTCGAAACAAGCATTTGTAAAATTATGGAAAGCCGCTGATCTTAGCCGTAGTACGAAAACATAGACGCTGGTCCCTGTAGCCGTAGGAAAAGAAAAAACAGGCTTAAGTTGGTTGGGGAATCACATTTGGTTAACAAGTAAACAAAATAGTAATGATGATAGGAATACAAATTTCTGCATTGGTTTAGTGATTAAGCGTCATAACCAGGAAAAGCCAGGTGCCACCTGGCCCCATTATTTTTGCCTTTATGCCAACTTTTTCTCCCTTCGTGGACCCCATCCTTTCTTCAATTTCAATCACTTTCTCTCTCTTTATAGAGCTTCTACTCTCCCGCATCAAGGAGACTGATCAAGAGTTACCTTCAAAGAACTACATTTTCATTTCTTTCACATTTTAGAGGCATCTGTGGTTTCCAAACCCTTAACCTTTTTCATACAGAGAGAATCTTGATGGGCAATTACAGGTTCAGGTTATCAGATATGATGCCCAATGCCTGGTTCTACAAGCTGAAAGATATGGGCAGAACCAGAAACCATAGCAACACCAACCATTCCAAGAAAAAACTACAACACCCGGTATCTCCTGCTTCAACAACAGCACAGCCATCAAAAATAAAGCAACCGCGCCATTCTTATCCACGAAAGTCTTATTACTTCACTAGAGAGCTTATCCCAACTGATAGATTCTATGCTTCTCCCACAAACACCAAATCAGCAAATGCCCATTTCCCTGACCCACCAAGAAAATCTTCCAAAAAACGATCCAGAAAAAGAAATAACAGGTCCTCTCCCAAGCTTGTCACTTCCTCTGTTTCTGCCGGTTGTAGCTGCCGTGCCACACTCTGGACTAAGGCTGATTCTCCCCCAGAATACTCAGCTTCTTCCTCTTCTGATAACTCTTCAGACCAAAAACTTTGTGAGCCTTTCCCGCAAGAATTCAGGTCTGACTGCATTCTCACTACTGAATCATTCGATAACATGGTATCCTGGTCGCGTTCTTGTACCTGCAAAGTCAATTCTAATGCTAACGATCTCGTTATCGATGTTGATAACAAGTCTTTTGTTAAGAAATTCGACAAGCTAGATGAGTTCGACAAATTGTCTGAGCTTGAACTCCCTCCGATCATAACCAAGCCAGCTAAATTCAACGATACGGTGAAGGATATCAAGAGGAAAGAGCAGAACAGTGAACCGACCAAGTATCGAAGGAGTTCAGCTAAGTTTGAGGAAAAAAATGCTCATGGTTCACTTTCTGTCAAGGTTGTCAAGGAAGAAAGAATCACAGTGAAGGAGCAAAAGAACTATAGCCCGGTTAGGAAATTTTCTGTCAATTCTCCTGGTGTAAGGCTGAGGATAAATTCTCCAAAAATTGCAAGCAGAAGAATCCAGGGTCATGCTAGAAAAAGCGTGTCATCAAGTTCAAGCTCGAGCTCAAGGAGGAGTCTGTCGGATAGTTTTGCGGTGGTGAAGTCGTCATTCGATCCTCAGAGAGACTTCAGGGACTCGATGGTGGAGATGATTATGGAGAACAACATCAGGGCATCAAAGGACTTGGAGGATTTGCTTGCCTGCTATCTTTCTTTGAATGCTGATGAATATCATGACGTTATCATCAAGGTCTTCAAGCAAATCTGGTTTGATTTGAGTGATGTCCGGTTGAAATAATTTCCTCAGAAATACTATAATATATATATATATATATATATATATATGGATGTATATTTCTTCTTTCTCTTTCTTTTTCAAGTCTTTACTATTATCATTGTCCTATCATTCACTCTTCTTTCAAAGTAAATACCACTAGTCGTTAGATGAGCATTTTGATGATGAACGTTTTTTTACTTGAATAAACGTAGGAAATCCAAGAGGTAGAACATTTTTGCCGTGTATTTTTATTGGTTGCCCTGTTTTATTCTGTCATTACGCTTCTGACCTGTTGTGATCGTGTTTTATTAATAAGGCTTTTCCTGCTTTCGTGAAAATAAAAGTCATTTACCCAAAGAGAAAAGGGAACAAGAACAAGAGATAGAATTTTGGCAGGGCATTGTAGGGTGCTGCTGATGACAACAGAATCCATTGAAGACGTGCTTTTATTTTAGTGCTTGAGCATTTAGCTTTTCTAATTTTTTCCTATAATCAACATCTCTTGCGGTTAAACTTTGCCTCTAAGGCAGTTGGATTCCTAAAAGAAAAAGAAAACAGGAAGCAAATGAAAAATCTATGGTGTAAGTTTCAACTTTCAAGCCAGGGACAAGCTTCTTTGTTTCCAGGTCGGACAATTGGAAAAGAAAAGTTTGAGCCTACAGATACCTGCACTTCATGCACTGGCTGAAGGCTGAAGCAAATCCAATAATGAGCACATTCATGTCCAAAATAGGAAAAGAAGAAAAGCTTAGATTTCATAAATTTCTGCAGAGCTTGTTTTCTTTTCAAAAGGAAAATAAATTGATAAATTTTGTGGTGTAATTGGAAGTGGGGTTGAATGGCAGTTTTCCTAATGGCCTGACCTGCTTGTTTTATTTACTTCCCAAAGAGAACAAAAGGACATAAATTTTGGTTGTATGAGCATCAGTGCTTTGCATGCACCCACACCAACTTGGGAATAATGCGCAAAACAATACAAAAACAAAACAGATATTCAATATGAATATGTTTATATATATATATATAAAGTGGTCCATCTCGTACAATTTCTGACAATTTCTTCCATCAGCTTCAAGTTTCCCCCTCTAAAAGAAGATACTCTTTAAGGACAAGTTTCAGTTTTTAATCTTTCTTCACAATTCTAAAGCTATACTATATCTCCTCCAGGCAAGATGTCCAGCTTTCCCACATCCAGAGGGAGATAGAGACAGAGAGAGGGGGTTTACTTTGCACCCAAAAAAAAAGCTGTAAATTCAAAATTTTCACAGAGAAGAAACATTTTAAAGGGGTGAGATTCAAATTTCTGGACTGTGTGAAAGCTCAAAGGCTTTGTTGCACGACATAGGCATAGGGCTTTACCTAAAGTTGAAAATTAATCGCTTGAAAAAGTTAAAAGTTACTTCGATAATTACGAAAGCAAAATGTACATTTTCAAACAAAAATAGCAAGGGATTTGGGGTGTTTTTCCTTTTCTAATAACATGGAAACATTGACTTGGAAGCGATGATCACATTCCATTCATCATGATGAAGGGTACAGACTGCCTAACAATCTCTTCCCCTTTGTGCAATTAAATGCTTCTTTCTTGTGACAGTAACAGTCTTTTACCGTTCTTTCCTCTTTCTTTCCTTTTTTTTTTTTTGTTATGTTGAAAAGAAAGCATGGATTTGAGATGTTGTTTCTTTGTGGGACAAAGAGCTTTGAGCTTGGTTTCACCTACCCTATAAAATCAGAAAATTTACATTTTCTTAATGGGGTTTATTCTAATTAATCCCTAACTTTGCGCTTCCTAATACTTTTTCCACTTATATATCTCTTGCAACCTGCCATTGACTTTCAGCATTAATAATTTTATAGTCTACCTAAATCTTTCTATTGAACACAATTATGTTTTTGTGGGGAACACGTTAATTTACTCAATACTAATAACCTCTTATTGTCCAACAAACAACCTTACTATTTTTAAGAAGAAAGGTAGCATTACCAAATGAGATGATGTGATTTTGTCTTCATCACAAAGAAGAGGTTTTGTAATCTTACACTTCCTTCGTCTCTAATTATCCATTTTTTTATTAATTTTCACATATATTAAAATATTTTAATTTTTATGTGTTTCAAATTTTAATTTCAATTTTTGTAATATTAATACACAATGCCCTTTGTAACGTCAAATAATAAAAAATATATATATAATTACACATTACTTTGGTTTGATTTGTTTGTAAGATCGGTTTGTTCATAAATATATAATGTGATTTATTAATAAATTATTTAATTAAAATTGTGATTTTTTATTTATAAATTTAGCTTTATAAACAGCAAAAAAAATGTATCACTACAAAAATATTGCTAAAAGTGCCAAACTTGCCGATTGCGATCGGGATTTAATGACTGAAATTCAAAGAAACAAAATCACTTTTTTTAAAGTGTAATTGGAATTTGCTTTTCAATATATTCATAGTCATTTAAATTAGTAAATGCTTTTCGGTGGCAGGTGAGGTACAAATAATATACAGTATAAAACCATTTGGCCCATAAAAAGATATAGTAGCCGTATAAAAACAATCTAAATGATTAATTGTGATGAAAATGTAGCTTTTCCAAAAAGAAATTGTAATGAAAATGTCTCTTCTTCCGAAATAAGACCAACTCCAGAGAATAAAGCTGAAACCATAGATTAAACATGCAACCACTTTGTATGAGCGGCGTGTATTTTTCTATATAATTTAATTGTAATTTAAAAAAAAGAGAGAAAAGGACAGAAACCATTTTAATTTGATACTAACGCCTAGCACATGCATCTGAAACACAGGTAAATAATTTATATTACATGCAATTTGGTAAAAGAGACTTTTTCTACATAACCATATCTTGATTCTTGCCACGCCTTACTCCGATCCGCCAATTCGGTACCAGAGGCTTTGATGCTCTCTTCGTTTTTTATTACAAAACCAGACCATCCCTAACTCGCACCTTCCGATATTCCAACATCACTCTTTTTGTACTATTTGGTACATTATTAAAATTTATTAAATTTTAAGTTACTGAATATAATGTGTAAATCTCGTCTTTTCCCATCGTATAATTTAAATTTGAAACTTCAAAATCATTGTTGACGCAAATTCCACGACAGAATAATGACTCAATTACATAAATACCGGATTGAAGCAATTTCGGGAGTGTGTCGGCGAGCCGCAAGGAGAGACTGAGTCAAGGAAGATATAAAAACAATGGAGAGAGACATGAGATGAGACAGAGGGAGAGAGAGCAAATCAAAGACTAGACCAGACCAGAGCACCAACATTAATCCGCAGATTCTGGGGTCTGCCATCACATATCTTTCTTATGTCTATTATCTACATTCTACTCCTACTCCTGCCCTACAAAATATTTTATACTGCGTAAGAAAATGAAGGTAACTTACCCTACATAGTTTCAAGTGTAGGGTAGGGGTCCAAGGGTGCCCTAGGCCTATGACCGGAATATGAGGTCCCAATTAATTATTATGATTCCAATTCGGAACAATGCCCTTCCCCTGCCAACTTCTGCACCTGTGTGACTACTACTTTGCCAATTACTTGCACGCCCAATTTGACTTTGTTATGTCTTATTCATCAGCTTCTCATCATATCTTCACATCCCGAATAAAACAAAATCCTTTCTTTTTTATTTAGGGAATAAAGATACGAGTCATTTTGAGTTTTTTTTTTTAAATTTGAAAAAGATGAAGGGATTTGAATTTGATATTGTAATAAAAAAATACATATATTTATCATTAAATTAATTTTTATTTATTTAAATTATTTCGAGTTTAAAACATAAAATATTGGATCATTTTGATTCAGGTCATGTAGATAAAACGTCAAATATTAATGATTCATTCAAATGAAATCTATTTAAATCATTTTTATAATAAATTAGATTTATATTTACTATCTTTAAATTAAATTGAAGTTTAAAATAAAAAGAAAATAATATTTTCTCTATTTCAAATCGAATATGCACGTTTTCAAATTGCACAAAGTTTTAGGAATGGAGTATGCTGTTCTTTATTTTACAAGTTTTTTACTCTTGAAATGACATAAAAGTTAGAGAATCTCACTCTTGTCTAAAGATAGTATTTAATGAAAAGTAACATTTGCAAAGTGTTTTTCTTATATACTTTGGAAAAATCAATATTATTTTATAACATCTTAAAATAATGAGATAGACAATTAATTTAAAAAGAGTAATATTTTACATAATTTTAAGTTTCAAGTTTAGGTCCAGATCAAATTTAACATGACTCAAATTAGGTCAAGATAAAAATTAAATTGATACAAGGTCACGCTGGACAAGGTAGACAAATCTTTGTTTTGAATCATCGTGGTGAGCTCCCAATAAAAGCAAGGTTTGGACAAGTAATATAGGACTACATTGACTCGACCTTATTTGTAGAAAAGGTTTTAGATAATTAATCCGAAGTACTGTCCTCAACTTCATAGGATGACTAGTTCCTTTGATAATCTCCAATCCAGCTACTTTTCATGTGCCTGAGGCATCATTCGACCTCTCTCTCTTGATTAGGGCACTTGACCAGCCTCTCATTTTCAATGCGTAGACATGTAGTGTTAAAAGGCACCTTTTTTTTTTCTTTAAGTTCTCTCTCTCTCTCTCTCTCCCTAAAAATATAATGTGATACATTTGTCTATTGTTAGGACTTAAGATAATAAACAGAGGCATATTATATAGACACTCAAAGAGATATAAGACTTGGGATTTTTAACTCTAAAAAAGATATTCTAATTGATATTATTATTATTATTATTATTATTGTTAAAACCATTGATGCGCATATAGAGTGATTGATTATTATAAAAAAATCATATCAGGGTGAAAATGGTAAGTATTTGCAATTATTTGTTTCAAAATTACTTTTGCATAGAATTTTTAAGAAATTATTATAATTTATTTTATATAGAAGAATCGATTTGAATTCTGTGCAGATTTCAGATTAACTTTTGAATAAGGATACAAAGATCAAGCATTGAGTAAAATATGAGAACATTTATTCTAGTATTTTTATTGCTTGAAGCCTTTTTATAATGAAATCAGTTCTAATCTTTTATGCAAAAAAAAAATATTGAATTAGGAAAATGACATTTAAATCGTCGAGAATGAGATAGGAAATAGAAAACGAAAATGACATTTAATGTTGACATTAAAGAAAAGAAGTGATTGTTGGGAGGAGATAAAAAAAAATAGAATATTAAAATGGAATTACTACAAAGAAGTGCACGAGTGGGGGGACAAAAATCTTGGGGAATCTAAGACGGGGAGAGTCATTGTTGATTGTCTCAACTATCAACACACACGGGTGAGAGTTAGTATTTCCCTGACTCTCATGTGCCTTTGTCTCTGTTCGATTCCACAATTTCTAGTATGTCCTCTCCTCCATATCCTGCCAACGCAAACGACGAATGTACAAAATCTGGACCCTGCCTTGGATGGCTGTGCCCCACATTTATTTGCTACCCATCCCATTAAACCCCATTATATATGTATATATAAGTTTTAAATAGTAAAATTAATACTAGATACAATTTTGAATAAGATTTAGGTTTGAAAGTTGACATACTTAATATCCGAAAGCTTTTTATAGATTAATCGTTTTTTTACATATATAAATATTTGAAAAAAAAAACCGTTTAAAACTTGTTTAATGAAAAAAAAAATCTAAGTTCTTGCTAATGTCATATTTTTAACCTTTGCAATAACATCTTAGCCAGCGAGTCCAAGTTATAATTTTATTATAACTTGAAAAATTAATGTATATGATTTCTAAGCATTGGCATTATAAAACATCACAAAAATAATTAATATGATTTCATGGTTAATATTTTATTTCATATTTAATTGTTATTTTTTGTTTGGATTTAGAACTAGGTTATCCATGTCGAGTTTATGTTATAAAATTAATGAGTTTTCTTAGTTTTTAAAAATATTTGCAATATTATAATGTAAATTATAATTTTAAATTTTTAGATTCAAGTTGAATTAATGTTTTGAATTGAGTATTCACCAATTAAATGATTTCGAATAATTAGCGAATATCACTAATAGGTTTTGGTTAAATTATAGATAATTAAAATAAAATTTTAAATAATTTCAATTAAATTTCCGATATTTCATGTTAAACGATTTCAATTTCATAAGTTTCAAAATAAATAAATACAATTTCAAATGTTTCAAAAAAAAAAATACCATATCCGTTATCATTTCTAATCTTACTTGCTGTTTCTTGCCCATTATCTTATTCTTGCCCTACACTACACACCCAAACTCATCATTTTTTTCTCTCTATAGAGAAAAGGGCCACTAAGATAACCTGGGTTATGGTGTTCGATTTTAAGTGTTTAAGAAATAAGAATTGAACTGCGGTTATGTGCTCATTGAGTTGGACAAATTCGCTTTAAATTTTTAGGTTAGAACTGAATTTAAAAATATATTGTTTTACTTATAAGTAATATATTTTTATTTAATTTTTTGGCTCAATAAAAAATTTCAAAATTTTAAAATATTAACGTAAAAATAAAATATTATGCATATAACTTTGACTTTTTAAAAGTAAGCTTAAAAACGGACACATAAGCACCTCCATTTCCAATGGAGAAACAAGAGCATTATTCATAGTTTTAAAGGATCTAATATGGCTTTATGGTGGTGCGATGATCGATGAAATAAGTCAAACAAGTTTAGAAAATAGTGATATAAAAAATATGACAGTAAAAACTTATTTTTTAAAAAAATAAGAATAATTAAATTTTGGATTAACACCTTTTTCAACTACCAGCATTTGTCCCTAGCAAGCTTAGCACATGGCCATTTTTTTTTTTTGGTCAAGAGCTTGTGACAATTTACTTTATTAGTATGTTATATTGATATCTCCAAAATTTAAATATAAACTTCTTTAAAATATAAATCTCAAAAGCTAGATTAAATATAATTTAAAATTTAAATTCATATGTGGTTAGAAAGTTTTGCATAAACCGAAATTAAGAATTCCATATTTTATATAAAAAAAAATCTATTTTGATAAAATGCATATTCAACTCGATAACTGATTCCCTATTTAACTCAATTTATAAATTTAAAATCCTAAATTTATTTTATGAAAAACCTTGTTCTTTTTTGTTCATATAGAATTTGATTATTAAGTCTTAGATTTATTAAAGAATAATCCTTTTTCATCTCGATCTTGTTATCACTCATTACAAAGTCTAAACCAAAACTATTCCTATTAAAAGTTTAATATCTAATTACACGAATTCTATATGTATATCATTCAACTGAATTTAAATCATCATTTCTTTAGAACAATAAAAAAAAATTAACAAACGTAGGAAGCAAAATAAAACATAAAAGGGGACTACTTCTGGTTTCCAGCAGTGGCTCCGTTTTGTGGGAAAAAATTAAGGAGCAGCATGCTCATGCATGGGTGCATTAATTCTCAAAGCCGAAATGTGGAAGAAAAACCAACATGGGAGATTGTGCGATGAGAAAGTAGTTGGGCCCGACCGCACACTACATAGATTGTAAGTATTATATTAATGGAGGTAGACTTTTTTGAGCAAAGTAGAAATGTGTGGCAGTTAGACATGATAGCAATGTGACTAACAAAATCTTCTGGGGATTATCTGGTGGGATTTTCTCTTTTCCCCTTTGTACATGTTAATGGGTGATGCATGCATTTTAACCTAAAACTATTTGCAATCTGTATTTGTTAAATCATAAGATTTAGGCGGGGCCTCCAACATTGACATCCTAACCAAAACAAATTTCTGATTCTTTTTCTCATTCCTTTGCTCTTTAAGAGGGAAAAAGATATGAAGAAATTAACATGACTGGTGAAGCTTTCATTGTATCAATTCACCAACCACCCTATATCAATTGTCCTTCAACCTCAAATCAAAAATGCTTAAAGAGTCATATAGTGACAGCTATTCGTTTCAATACATGTAATCTATAAGATGAAATACTCATTGCCATCATATACTAACATGTTTTTTGCATGCAAATTAGCTAAAAATGAAACTTTGCCGCATTAAACCTATGCCCTCGCATATTTTCTTTTCAATCAGGGGCAGATCTTTTGTTGTTATGGGGGCCCCCTTTAAAATAATTTCTTTATTTAATAATTAATAAAGAAATATCAATTGTCTTCTTTTTGTTTTCTTTTTTGTTATGTCATATATAAATTTTATTTTTTACTTATTATGTTTTTCTCTTTTTTATTATGAGGATTTTATTTTTATGATTTTAATTTTCAAAAATTAAAAAATTATTATATAATTCTCAAATATAAATTATACTGTTGCATTGTTGCTTAAAATTTTCATCAATGTATCATTTTTTTAATTAATCTTGATTATATAAAAAAAATTAACTTGGGTATATATATATATTTATATTTTGAATTGGAAGAAGAGGGATTTGAATCTTACTTTTTAAGTAGAGAGATCATACACCAATCAATAAGTTAAATTTTCAAATGCTTAAGTATATATATTTTATTTACTTTACGTTTTATATTCAGTTAAAAAAATATTTTGAGTATATGATTAAGAGGAAATTATATTGAGTATTTAATCTTTAAATAATCCTAATTATATAAGAGAAAATTACTAATCTTATATATTGTATTTTAAAAAAAATTATAATCTTATATATCGTATTTAACTATTTATATTTTATGCATTATAATCTTATATTTATTATTATAAGTTTAAAAAAATAAAATAAAAATATTGCATATTGACTATAATAATTTTTTTAAAAGTTTGATTAAAATACGAGTAAGTTAAAAATAATTAATAATTTTTTTTAAAAAAGATATAAATCGTTAAAATGATTTTCTTATACTTGAGCCATTAAGTCTCAATGCTTCAATTTATAAACAAAAGTAATGTGAATTAAAACGTCCAACACTCAATCTTAAAGAAATATTTGTTTTTCAGTACAACATCAATAATTGATATTACATTAAAAGACTATTACAAGTTTTTTTCATTTACATATTATATAAAATTATTATCTATTATGAATCTTTTTATTATTGATTAAATTCAATATATTAGTTTTTAAAATTTTTAGTCCTTCCAACAAAAAGTTGGTTAACTTCATCCTTGTTTTCAATGAATATATGAGCTGCTTTAAGTAAATACAAATTAACAAATTACTTAACTAAATAATGCACTTTCAACCAAGAAAACATATAGACACTTCAATGTTTAAAATTTGAGATTTTCGTTTGGAAAGCTCATGGTTGAATCTTGGACAGAGAGTGTCATATATGACGAGAGTTATTACATATCTCTCAGGATAGAGTCAAGAGAATCAACTTTAAGGGGGCAATAAGCCTTTTAATAAAAATGTTGACATCAATTTTAATATTGTTTTTACAAAAATTATAATCTTAATTTTTCATAAACAAATGTCAAAATTTTAAATTGTTTTCTTAATTTTTCATAGCAAAGTTATTATTACAAACTATATCATTATGAATTAATAACAAATTATACAAAAGATAGTTATGAAATTTATGTATGCAGTATATTATTGTTACATGTTAAACTACATTTATACATTATTTAATACATATTGTTATTGTAAATCTTTATTTCTTGTGCATTTCATAGATTGAAAAACTAGAAACCATACTTCTTTTTTGTTAATGGTATGAAAAAACTATAAGGAATTATCATGCAAGAAAATATCTTTAGAAAAACTAAAATTAAAAGTTGAGTGCTTATATAAAAGTTAAGACTGCATGTGCGGAAAACTAAAGCAATGCATTATGTACAAAAGAGTTCTACGAGAAGTAAATATTTATAATTACCGAAGAAACCAACCAAAAAATTATTGTTGAATAAAATTCTAAAAAGTAATAAAAATGTTAAAGATACATAATTAATGAATAATTAATTTAGGCCTATGTACAAAGAGGAAAGAAGAACAAGAAGAGCTATTGAGGCATCCATTCTCAAAAATCAAACAATAGTATATGCTTTTTATTAAAGAAATCAAGCACTATACAGTACAAGGTCTTTATTTTTGCTTACACAAGACTTTCGTAAATGATCAAACTATTTTTTCCTTTCGTTTCCCCTTTCAAACAATACTCTTCAATCCATTGCTCAAAGCCTCAAACACTATACATCAAACGTACCATGTAGACCAAAAAAAAAACAAGAAGCAAAAAAGTTCCACGCCAATTCATGTGATATATAGCCTTTGCCTATGAGAAATTGAATGTAATCATAGAGAAGTTTTTAACATAAAAATAGAATAAAGGAAAACAATAATTAGTGCAATCAAGAATTGATCTGCCAAGGAGAATTTTTGGTAAGTTGTTTTATACGAACGATTTATATTTAAAGAAGACCACTTGAGCTCCATGGAGAAAAAGGATTGGGATCCACACAGTTCTGCCTGATTAACAATTCGCCCCGAAACACTTTTGAATTCTCCCAAGCTCCATTCCTATTGCCACAAACACAAGTGCATGTTTTAGGCTTTTATTCAATTTCCCTTGGCTCATACAAAATTCCATGATACTAATCCACGCCCACATTTTAAGGTTAATTTTATGCAAATAAATTTCATGTTTTGGTATACTCATTTATCGAAATCCCGAGCATTTGATTTAATCAATAAATTTATTTATCTTCTATTCAAAGAGTTGAATTCAAATTTCTTATCATATGATTTCAATTGATGCAATGATTATGAGACATTTTAGTAACTTATCTAAAAGATAATAAAGTTTATTATTCATTCGAGACCTTTGCTAGTTCATTGTCAAAAACGTTTACCATAACGTAAAATGATTTTGGGATTTGAAATATAAATAAATAACTAAGCACTAAAGTTAACCAAGTATCAAAAGGAAAAACAACAATAGCTTTGACCTGAAAAGGGTTGAACTGAAATAACTTACCTCGAGTTGTTGTCCAACTGTAACAATAATGGTCTCTGGACCTGCATCAAAAGTTAAAAGTCCTGATGGCACAGATTTGACACGAAATTCGCAATCCTTGGTGGGAAGGTGGAGGCTTAAAGTATAATTATGACAAGAGTGGTCGGTTTCTTCTTCATTTAGTTGTGATTTTTGTTCCATGATCTTATCCTGCTGGTTATACTTGTATATGCTCAAAAGGGACTCCCCTCTTTGCACTCTCTTTCTTTGTCGCTCGCTTGCGTTTTCTACCAAAATCTGGCCCAATTCGTCCGCAAGTTGGTCCAGTTTGCTCGCTACTTTCTCCATCTTTTCACTTTATAAAAAGAAAAAGAAGAATTAATAAGTCCCCAAAAACATCAAAACACAAGCCCACACTTTAGCTAACAAAGAAAAGTTATATTCTGTTCCATGATTCTGTATATGTTGCTTTTCCTTTTTCTTCTTTTTGATAATGAGATGAGGTTAATTGAATTGACACAAGCTAATGGAAAAGAACACCGCAGTCCAAACTTGGCCCAAGGTTTACCAAGTAGCCCAAATAACGATCTATTCAACACCTTTATGTAGCCCCTTACTATCGTTGGGCCGGAAAAGCCCAACCAAATTTAATACCCAGAGCGATGTGCAACTTTTCCTTTTTCGGTAGTAATTTTTTTTCTGTGTACGAGGTGGCGGAAGGGGGTCGTGATTTTCACCTGAAACTCTGATACAATGGAGCGCCGATGTATTGACGTGCCCACTCCATCCGCTCGTCTTTGCGACGAACCCACACGATCTCCTCCCTTTTTCCCGCCAAATATCTCCTAAATCCCGTATCTCTCTCTTCCATCACCCCGAACACTTTCGCCGCCTCTTTCACCAACGCCCTCAACTCCTCCCCTTTAATAAATCCATGGCACCCGATCCGGAACACGCCCAACTCCCGAGCCGATTGCAGCAACCGCTCCACCGAACTGGTCTCTCTTAGGGAGAGGGATTGGAAGTCGATCTCATCGGGAGCGTAGGCCGGGTGGTGGAGCGCCTGGGACTGGGACTCTGGTAGCGTGAGGTCAGGGACTTGTAACGACTTCTCGAGAAAGTCGGTGAAGGTTTCGTTGGCAGCGGAGCGTGAGCCGTTGGCCGTTGGGATAGGCGATGGAGGTGGCGCCTTGATGTTAAGCTGGCTCAAAGAGCGTATGATAGCCATAGAAACGTACGATAAGAAGAAGAAGAAGAAGAAGAAGAAGAGAAAGAAATTGGAATAGGGAAAAGTGAAAATGAAGAAAGGTAGAAGTAGGCGCGGAGTCCTCGTTGTCAGTTGTTGTCGCAGTGGAGTGGAGGTTCATTGCACTTGATGATAATTCTTTTGACATTTTTTTATTCTACTGACACGTGTAAGCGTTTTGACTGCCAGAGTGGATACCGAGGATGCATTAGATTTCGCCAAGTCATTAAAGATCCAAACTTTATTTACATGGGGCCCAAATCATAGTTGTGAGTCGTGACATGGAGTTTTTTAATTTTTTCTTCTAATAATGTTTATCAAGCCTTATTTGCCCAAAAACACTTTATTAGTTAAGTAATAATATCTCACAGATAATATACATTTAAGTCATCTAAAAACATAGCTTTAAGTAATCTATTTTCTTGTTTAATTTTTCAAAAAGAAAAATTAAAAAAAAGTAGAGATTTCTCTTTCATTAATCCTTTTGGTCAAATAAGTTGAAAGTGTTATAATTAGAAAGAAGATGAAGAAAGAATGAGGAGTCCATATTGAAGAGAAATAAAGCTTATTGCCACTGTTTTTTTTTGGTTTAGAAGAAAAAAATAATAAGCAAAAGGGTTGGGATTTCGCTTTCGGAAATTAATTGCGGTTCAAATAAAGCAAACTATTAATTAAACTAGTTATGATGAAGGATGAGCCCACCCGGAGAACCAAAGCTTCAGCTTTTCTGTTCTTGGGTATTGCAGCTTTCAAACTGCATGGCCCATGCATCCACAGCAATCCGAAAGCAAAATATGGTACGGAGATATTCATTTATGGTTTTCCAACTTGAAGGGTTTAATAATATATTGTGGACAATGCGGCCTCATTATCTTTTGGGATTCCTTTCCCTAGAAAGTACTTTACTTTATCGTAAAGGAATGTCATTTAAAAGTGGTATAATATTTGAAAAAACTCATGAATTATTTAAAAAAAATATGATTTTATAAGTGTTTTTTATTGATAATTAATTTAAGATCATTAATTTAATTAAATAATACATTTTTAAATAAAATGGACTTAATATATTAAATGACTTTTAGCTACTTGCAATTTTCAATACCTTTTCATTAAAAATCTTCACCAAGTGATTCCTAAAAATAAATTATAAAAAGCATTGAAAAAATTAAATTAGTCATTAAAAAATTTTAATTGTTAATGGCTAAAAAAATTTTCAATGGTTTATTAAACAGATTCAAATAATTTAAAACCTCTCTATTTATAAGTTGTAAATTATAACTTTGAAGTATCTCTATATAAATAAAAGGGAATCCTTGATATTGTTAAAATAGTATTTCTTTTTTATCAGACTAAAAGTATAAGTTGATTTTGTCACAATCAATCAATTTTCAATATATATAATATATGAAAAAATTCAACACAAAATTGAATAAAATGTAGAGACGCTGGAAGTTGAATTTGAGATCTAAAAGCACCGACGCAAGACTTTGTCAACAATATGTTGTCCCACGTTTTGTATCGTTGCAGCAACACTCTCTCTTTCCGTTTTTTACTCTTGAATGCTTGGTAATTCTCTAAGGTTTTTGGGCCTTACTTGGGCTTTGGGCTTCTCTTTCTATTAAATACAAAGACAAGGGGAAAGAGGCAATCATCCTTTGAAGTGCAGGTGCTTTGTGTGCAAGGGTTAAGGCAAACATCATGTTTCAATAAACAAGATTTAAGATTTATAATTGTTTCAACTAATCATAACAATACTTTTTTATATCACTAAGAAAATATATGCCTAAACTATTATAAAGATGCTTTTCCATTCCAATTTTTAGTATAAATAATTTAACATGTATATGTTTATAATATATATAAAAGTAAGATAACTGATTAGATCAATCGGTTAACATTTGTTATTCTGAATTAAATTAAATTTTTTTGTATACTCTCTTATTTCTTAATATTTTATTATACATCTAATAATCTTTGATAAGATTATTGTCTTCTTTGGATAAGTAATGTTTTAAGTAGGATAACTGATTGGGTCAATTGGTTAACACTTATCATTCTCAATTGAATTAATTTTTTTGTATACTTTATATCAAAATTGCATTGTTTTTTACATTTGAAGGGTTTTTTTTACTTTTATTTATTTCAATAAAAAATACTTGAAAATAATAATTTCTAACTTTTAATGCTTAGAGGATAGATTCATTTAATATTATTTTTTATCTATATCCTCTTATTATGCATGAGCTTAAATCCATAGTGTTTAGACATATCTTTTGTATATGAATGTTTAAATTTCAATAAATATCTATTTAATTCATTGAACAAGTAAAAAAGTCAATAAAGTCTACTTATTTCTCAATATACATAACACATAATCATCATTTCATAAACAAATCAACTAAATTTAATAACTTTTAGTCATTCATTTTATATATAAAAAACATATACTATTAAAAATTAGTAACTATTTTACATCGATAACATCTTTACATTATACTGTTACCTTATTTTTTACTACTGTTTATCTTAATTTGCCAATATTACAGGTTATATATTCTATAATTTCTTAATATTTTATTATACGTCTAACAATCTTTGATAGGATTATTACCTTTTTTATATAAGTACTGCTTTATAACTATATATGTAAGTGCAAGTTTCTAGTAATTAAAACTAGAGTAAATAACTATCTTCAATTAATACCATTTTTTTTTTTACCAACAAGAACCATACATTCATGCAGTTCAGTAATATAATATAGCATAACAAAAAAAAAAACAAAGGTATATGGCAAAAAGAAAAGTAAATTGTTACCATAATTAAACATATTTGTTGGTATATGCCCTTAAGTAAATTGGATTTGGTCAAGAAATATGTATTGTCATTTAATGCATATTTAATCGCATAACTATAAATAATAGAGGTTTTCCTTCATGTTATTGCAATAATAAGGAATTATTAAATACTAATTGAATGAAGCTCACGAAACATAAAGACTTTGTAAGAGAATTGTAAAATTATTATAATTACGAGATCATTATGCATCAAAGCCATGTTACTAAAATTATTTCCGGTCATTGTATTATCAAGACAGGGTATTGATAATGCTAAAAGACTAATACATGTTAAGCCTCTTCACTTAAAAAGTAAGTAATCACTCTCATAGATTGAAGTATATGAGATACTTGAGGACAATATGTAGGTGCTTGTTAAACATCGAGTTCACTGAACATGACCTACTATGATAAACTCTATTTGGTTTTTCACTCAAGTGTCTATGAAATATGTTTTCGTGTGATAGTCGTGCAACTAGTCCTCAAACTTGAGACACTAGTTTATTTTGTATGGGGAATGACATACTTTAATTTTACTTTTACGGTTTGGAGGTGATCAGATACCTAAACAGAGTGTTTTTAGGTATGCCATGAAGCATGCGAAGGTGAATGAATAGTCAAGAGAGGATTCATCATCCTAAATTATATGAAATGATGTATTTCACTTGTTCTCAATTCTTGATTAACTTGTATAAAGTTTTTGGCCAATGCATGATGAATTTGAAAAAAGTTAGTTTCCTAAATTTATAAGGTTAGTCAAGAATTATAAGAACTAATATGTAATGTTATAACTAAACACTAAGCCATGTTTTATAACATATTCGAGATATTTGATGAAAAGACCGTATTACATCGAGAGATTTATCACTAAAAGATTTTGTCAAATTCTTTAATTAACTCTTTAACATTTGAGTGGCTATAATGTATTACTAAATGTCGATCAAGATCTATAAATATAAATTAATTATCAAATTGCTATTTGATTAGAATTTACATTTATTGCCAACATGTTAGAATCGTAATAGATTACACACATTAAGTGACATGATTAAGATTAATTAAGGTTAATCAATTAAGTTAGACTTAATTAGAATAGATCAAAATAAAGTGAGAAATTAATTAAGTTCACAAAGACTTAATTACATTAAAATACAACTGTTGTATCTAGGCTTACAATATAGTTTGGCTATATAAATATAATATATTAGCCAACTAAACTTCTAAATCTTCTACCACTTCTTAGTCGTTTCACAAAAATAAAAAAAATAGTTTTTTTGTCTGATAGAAATAAGATTTGGTAAGAATTTTTAGTTTTTTTGTTTTAGAATTAAAACTTACTAGCACAAGTAAAATCTTACCTTTGAAAAGATCTTACTTGGTCATTGTGTAGATTAATATTAAAGGCTAAACATTTTGATGGTTGAAAATTTAACAAATCCTAAAGGTGAAGAAGCAAAAATTTCAATTGCAGGATTTTAGACCGTCTTATTCTGTTTTTGGATTCATTCATTCATCACAAGCCTCTTGGATTTAATTAGCTCTTAATTGCAATATCTAGAGTAAGGTATATAATTTTTAAACTTATGAGTGTTTATAATTAATTTAAAAATTACATGAAAAACACAAACATTAATCTTGTAAGATTCGATTATTTTTCTGATTACATGTTAGTTTATTTTTTGCTGTGTTATATTTTTAATTTCTTGATTAATTTAATGTTTAAGCATAAGGTTGAATTCCAACAATATCTAACAGTCGTGTAACCGTGTATAGTTCCTTAACATTTAATTAAGTACCAGTCTTGCATCTAGAAAGTTGATATACATCATATAACAAAAATGAAAACTTCCTAATCACGTTATTGTATTTAAATAATATATTTTTAATAAAAAAAATTACTAAATGTTTAATAGGATCATTATCTTCTTTGGTTAAATACTATTTTAAAATCATAAATTTAGGAGCAACTTTTAATGATTGTAACCAAAGCAAATGGCTATCTTCAATTAATACTAGTTTATCTTTTTCTCTATCAACAAAAACTATACATTCATGTGATTGATTAATATAATATAACTTTCCTTACAAACTCTTTTGAAGATACTAAATTGAAATCCACTTCAATAAAATTTATATTTTTTATGATTTTTTTGTAACGTAGTTACGAACACCATGCTAGTATATATATATATATATATATATATATATATATATATAACCTTCTAATTCATCTATTATATATTGCATTTATTTGATTATTGATAATTATTTGGATGAGAAGAGATAGGAAAAATAAAGGCAGAAATTGTAGGGTCAGCAAACATATCTCATATGCACATCTAAATTTATGTTTGATGTTTAGATTAGAGATGCAGGAAGAGCATATGTATAACAATAAAGTTTCCTCATTCCAAAATATATATATATAGTGATGTTTTATGGAATATAACTTCATAGTCTGATGCATCCTGTAATCTGCGTTAGTTACTCCACTGAACCAGATTGAGGATTTAGAGTTAATTTGTACAAAGCACCAACACTTAAAACACAGCATAAAGTAAGTGGACTATTAAAAGAGAGATTAATGGGATTTTAACCACCTAAATATCCCACATAATTTTCGTCACGATCTTGAAATCCTCCCGGCGAGGCTGCCGCTGAAGCAGCCGTTCGGCTCCTGAAATCCAATGTTCTCCATGGCTCCGATGGTCTTAAACAAGCGCCTTTTGTTTATCTCTGCCATTACTGATCTGTGCAGCAATTGGCTACGTATGTCCACAAGTGAACGAATCTTGGTTAGCTTCCGCTGATCATTTGAGTGAGAAAACCTCCATGAATCAAGTTGTGCATTGCATATTTTGTGGCTGTAAACACTCGTGCTCTCTGATGGACAGAATCTTGTAGCTTTGAGGTTCTTTGGAATGCAGGGGTGCTCTCCCTGTTGAACACTCCAATCAAAGTCATCGTCATAATTCATGCTAGAATATCGGAGCGAGTTCATGGAGCAACTGGAACTTGCATCATCATTGCTAAATACATCTTCTGCAATAATGAGCATGCCTTGTCAAATGTAGGACAGCAAAAGAAGACTGAGATAGCTATCTGTGTTATATTTTCAACCAAAGAAGCAAAATAATAGATTTTCAAGTGTTGACCAAGCTATCACATACCTTGGGGCCAACTGCAACTAGAAGTCACATTTTTGCCATGACAAAATTGTGTTTCATAGGAAGAAAGGAAAGTTGGGAGGGAAACTTGGGAGGAAGAACAGGAGGAGGTAGCATAGAAAGGATGGTGAATTCCGGTTTGGTCATCATCAGCATCATCATCATCATCTTCATCTTCGTACTTGAAGCTGTGCTGATGATGGACTTGAGAGGAGCCCAAGTCCTTCCAAGTTGGAACAAGGGAAGATATCTCTTCCTCTATCATTTCAGCAATCTCCAATGGCTCCCAGTCATTAATTTCCAATTCTTTCACCATCTCCAAGGCGACATCAATTGCAGTGTCATTCACTATGTCAAAGGGAAAATAAATGTTCCGAGCATGACCTGCATGAAAGGATCATTAATTGAGAATATAAAAGGCATACGGGATAAAAGTTTGCAGGCCGCTATCGAAATTAAAAAAATTCATATTAGTCCAATAAATTTTTTTGAGGAAGAAAGAAGTTTTTGATATTTAAGCCATTTAGGATGAAATTCTTCACTATGTGGACAATGGTACAAAAACATGATTCCAAGAAGGAATTTCTCCACTACTTAAAGAGTTTTTCCCAATGTGCTAAAAGAATTTTCTACAGAAGTCAAAGATATATATCAAATCTTAGATTATCTCATATACACATGATGTTGATTGATGGTATTAACCTGCACGACTTAGAAATAGATGCAATCACAAACTTCTGTTATCAACTTGTCATAATAAAACCCATAAGGAAGTGTGCAGCACAAGAAGTTTTAAGGCAGTACCATCCTTGTCTGTAATCTGTACTTTGAGAAAAATAGTGTCATCTCCAGGATTCGTTGTGCCAGTTATTGACATATTGGTACTCCTTGTTGGATCAGCCTCCACAGAAGGCGCCAGCTCTGTGACTGGGCCTTTAGCAGTTAGCTTTAGGCTCGAGACTCTTGGAATTGGCAACGGACTCGCTTCATTAGAGGCCAAAAATGGGTCCAGCAAGAGTTCATGGGCTGGCAACCTCTTGGAAACATTCTCCAGGCACTTTCCAACAAATCGCCGGGCTTCCTCATCTTGAATCCTGTAGAATGCCTCTGGCAACTTTCCCTGGAAGAATAAAGTAGCAATATAAATATAGCACATTAATATAAATATAGAGGACTAATTTGGTGGTTTATATATTATTATTATAGTATTGAAACTAATGAGCTTGGATGCACTCACCGAAGTCACTTTCTTATAGATTTGTGCCGGATTGGAGCACTCACTGTATGGATACTCAGAAGTAAGCATTTCTAGTACGCACATGCCAAACGAGTATACATCCACTAGCTCGTTGTAATCCTCCTCATATAGTTCCGGTGCCATAAATTCTGGCGTTCCTAGTATTTTATGCAAGTTTGAAGAATTTGACTTATAAATATAGATGTATACGGCTACTCAGAAATCAGAAACCTTGCTTAGTAGACAATGGAAATCGAGAGGTTTACCTATAACACTATGGGCATGTTGTGACCCACGAAGAATGGCGGCTAATCCTAGATCACCGATCTTGACTTGTCCAAGGTGACCATTGACAAAGATGTTATCACACTTAAGATCTCTGTGGATCACTGGAGGGTCATGGCCATGCAGATAAGCCAGACCTTGTAGAATTTGGCGAGACCAGTTCTTAATTGCTCGCATATCCACACGTTGGTACCTCTGTCTGTACCTGTATTATATCTTACAATATATTAAAATAAACACAACAATAGCAATTAATTATCTGTTTAATTGACAGTAAGGTGTTGTGATTACTCTCTAAGGGTGCCAGAGGTGAACATTTCAGTGATGAAGTTGAAAGTTCTACGATCAATGTCGATCCAAGATGTGTAGAATCGCATGATGGAATCATGGTTGAGGTTCTTGAGGAGGTGAACCTCAGAGTAAAGTCGTTGCAATTCCTCTGGTGAACGGAAGACATCGTTAAGCTTCACCTGATTCCATGCCACCTCCATTCCAAGGACCTCGTCAAATGCCCTATACACTGTCTTCATGGCTCCTTTACCAAGAACCTCTCTGAACTGCAAAGAAATTCTCACGCATCATCACAGATTCAGTCATTTTAAAACTTAAACAATGCATAATTTCTTCATTTACATGTCTGCTTCACTAATTTGTTATGATCATGAAATTAATGGATCCTATATCAGTATATTCTATGGAATCAAAAAATAAATTGTATGTCTCGGCATCTATCGTATTGATAATTGAGTTCATCAACATTTATACTGAAAAAATCTACCAACATTAACATTAACATTTGTCGTCCGAATTTTCTACACAAATTGAAAGAACATCTTCAAAGTATTAGCTAGATTAGAGTAACACTGTCGTAGATTTATTCACTTATTTTATATATTACAGCATCTCACGATACCGTTGATCAAAACAAGTAGTTCAAATTTTGTAAATAATCTTAAACAAGTCTATAATTATGAATTATGCTTATCAAGAAAATTACATGGTCAATTTGTCTTCTTAAAAGCCGGCTAGCGTTTTACATTAATTAAAATAAATGAGCATTCATAAAAATTGTCAATATCACATCAAAGAATCAAAACCCCACATCTCCAGAAGAACTGTGCCAAAGAATTATTGTTAGTGAAAAGTGGGTGCACTCAAATCAATATGACCATGCAATATTTCCATCATGATTGCAAAAGATATTGGGATTCAGTCCCACTGAAAAAGCCGATTTTGTTGGAGCCTTAAGCAAGCGAAAATCGTTTTCAATTCATATTCATTCATGCATCAATCAAAAAGCCAAGATTAAGAGTCAAATGAAGAAAACTTACACGTCCATACCGACCAGATGCATCGGTTTCAACGTATCCAAGCTGGGATTGAACTCCATCAACACATCCTCCTAGACGTGTTTTGTACATGTCTGAGAGATAAGGCACCCTCAAAACCTCTCTTCTAGGTTCCAGTTTCTGGCTTATTGTAATATCTTCAAAACACTAATATACTTAATTATCTGCTAGTATAATTCAAGAACAAGGGGCGTACGGCAGGCAGGCAGAATTATAAATTATGGGGGAAAGAAAGTTGATGGGTGGGTGATGTGCTAGATGATCCGAGGCTTTCCTTCATGATTTTCATAGGAAAAGACACCAAGCAATAACCAAAAGAGCCTTGAGTAATCGACGCTGAGCATAATCCAAGCCATTTCCACAACTGCACGTAAGAAGTAGTAATAATCCTTGGAAATCATCTAGTCTTTGAGAGAGAGTGACAAGAGTCGAGAATCTATATATGCTGCTATGCAGATACTGTCCAAGAAGATTTTAAGAGAGCCCCGAAGGAAACTGTGGAAAAACTGTTGAGAGGCTGGTATGTTGGGGAAAGGGAATATTTTGTGTCAGCCAATGGTAAACCAAAAGCTTTCTGTTGAGAGCAAAATCAAACCTGGTTTGTGGAGGAGAATCGTTTTCTGGGGAAAAAGATAGATTTTCTACAAATTGAAAAGATTGTGATATGTGGGACTTGGGCAAGAAACTAGACTTCTAAACTTGAAGAACCTATGGCTACGCTTTGACAGCACCATTTGTGGAGGAGAGGGCAATCTAAAGGATAGATTTTGGCTGAGCAGAAGATCAAAGATTTGAGAGAGAAAAAGTTTTTAGGATTGCAAATTAACAAGAAAAACTGTGTCCAGGGAATTGATGGTTCAGGGTTGGGTGAAATATACAAAGAAGAATCAGAAGCTGATGATGGGAAGTGTTTTAGTTTTGGTTTGTATGCGGTGCGGTCCCCTCCAAATGACAGAGATGATGCAATTTGACAGAGTCTTAATGACAGATTTAAATTAACACAAAATGAATGGGGTTAAATTAGAGTAGAATTAAATGTCAAGGTCAGGATTCAGGTGGCCCTGGCTGGCTGAGTTTATCAGAGATAATTAAGGCTCACATCAGAAGCCAGCTCTTTTATTTCCAAGCAATCAATGATTGAACCTTGATATATATATATATATATATATATATGCATAATATGGAGAGAAAGAGTTAATTTATTATGTTTGGTTTTAATATTAATTATGGCATATCATCTAATAAAAATGGTCCACTCAACCTGCTATTGCCCCCTTTCTTTTTTCTCTCTTCTTTTTGGGTACATTTTTTTTCTTTAAAATGGTAATGACATAAGTCATGGTCCTTAGGGCTCAATTATTAAAGGGAATCACAGTTTCCAACAGAAATCAGTAACTTAATTGGATAAGGGGACATCAGCTATGGCATAGATGTTATGATCTTCACACGTTTTCTTTCTTGTGACAAAAGAAAATCAATTGTTGCCGGCTTTGTTCACTTTTTGGCTTATCACTTCTTACACCAGAATGTTGCCTGCAATCTTCGAGAGACGTCGCAGATTTCAATGGATACCCTTCTTTTCCCCAGGGATCAACTTTTTCGATCTTGAATTTAAACCTCTATGTTTTCTATCTATAAACGTAAAAATAAACTTGCACAAAACAATTTACGTATATATTAATTAAAAGAAAATAAAAAATATATAAGAAAGATTACAGCAGTAGTTAATTAGTATCAGTAGCCTCATTACATGTTTATTTTGTCTATGATTAATTTTTTTTATTTATTGATTTATATATATATTGTTCGATTTTGTTTTATTTAGAAAAGTGAGATTCATACCCTTATTATTGAATCAGGAATGCAATATAATTGTAATTTCCTTTCGTTTAGGTACTGTTATGAAAAACCAAAAGTAGAGTGTTAGTACCAATTATGAGGGTGAAAACCATGTAAATAGCTGTCGATGGGCCTATAGATACCATGGCAATCGTTGACGAAAATAGTGGTCCAGAGAGGCAGAGACACCATAAATCATGATCAAATCCAAAATATTTGTCTGGAGAAGCCACCATCTGTCCCAGGTTCCAACTTCAAAGTACAGCATAGCCATGTAGATAAAATGGAATAAATAAATGCGAATATTATTCAAGTTAAGTAGCTGATAAACGAATGTAATAAGAAAGACAAAATTGGTACAATTAGCAGTAGGAATTATATATTATATGAATTATTACGTGGTGTCAGTAAGGGCAACCCCCCTCAACTTTCCTGTTAAAATTGTTAAAGCAGAGAGAGATGAAAGAGAAAGAAGAAGCGTGCGATGTCCCATCTGGAAAACAGTACGGAGACATGATTGGTGATCCCAGCCCACTCTCCCTTCCAGTTGAGTGTTGTGTTGACAAATATTGCAACCTTTCCCTTTCAGTTTTCTTCGCATTTCATTATATAAAATTATAAATTGTAGGCCTTTTGAAAGAGTCCCACCACCTTTTTTATTCTTATCCTTGCCACTGGTATTCATAATATGCAACTTACACAATTATTTTCGTCACCTTTGTACAAGTGTAAGGCGTTGACCATACGTGGGCGTGGGGTATCGTATCGCAAACCACTTTTTCTTTTTTTTTTGTAGAGCTTTGATGCTGCCATTAAATGTGTGACCCCAAACTCACACATTTAATAATATTTCAGTTTCAATCTCTCCCATTATATCATCGTTATTATTATTATTATTATATTAACTTAATGTTAACCTCAAATCAATGTGTATTATAATATTATATTACAATTATTTTGATTGGCAAGGAGTGATTTATTTTCTGATAGTACAGTCTTTTAGAAATAGTCATAAACTTTGATTAATTTAGACTTCCTATCCCCTCTCATCTGTTAGTTAGTATTGTAATATGTGTATGTTGACAATAATGAATGATAAATGCATTAGAAGGGCCAAACCGATAATATTATAACCTACTTGCCTGGATATTCTCCACTAATAACCCACAAAACTTACGAGTGGAATTGCAAAAGAAATACGCCCAACAGCTGAGTTTGGCCATAGTCTTCTTCATCTGCTTTGAGGGAATAAGCAGAAGCAAGGTGGAAATCAAATTGATTGAAAGCAATGATGGCCAGAACCAGAAAGGTGAAAACCATTAGAGCTGCTAAAGGAACACTATTTTGCAGTATAAGTTACATGAGCAATCAGCAACAACAATATCTGTGTCTATACTTTTTGCTACCAGTGGCAAGGATATCAAAACCTGGGAACAAAAAAAAAAAAAGAAGCCATAGTTCGACAATCCTATACATGAATAACTCGCTATAAAGTACAGCTACCAAAGATTAAAGGGAAATAAATTAGTAGAATGTACAAATGCCTCTGAACTACACACAAAATAACGAACTCCATACATAGAGCTTTGGAATGGCTATCGAAGAACCATATTCACACAAGCTGAGGCCCAGGCTGGCTTGTTAGCATTAACTCTTCTATTCTTCCAAACTTTTCAACCATATAAATAAAGATCATTCCTTTCCACTGCTGTCAGATAGATAAAGGCGGAAAATCTTCTTCATTTTTTAAATGGTATGATCGTACAGCTATCCTGCATGTTAGAACAAAAAGCTCAGAGAGAATTGAGTACATATGTACTCTGCTGCATACAAGTTCAGATGAAACACAAAATTCTCTAACCTGCCCTGATCCACGCCCACAGTTGATTTTGACCGTTGCATTCCGGATGGTGGTTGACTTGCACTCAAGTTCAGAGCATAAGGGGAACCTGGATTATGTTGCATACTACTTTCTGGAGAGGCTGGCCCCAAAGGTAGAGGCCCAATTGACCCAAATTCTACAACCCTGTCTGGATGATGCACTGAGCCATTGGCATTAGGGTATAACACTTTTTCAGAACCAGAGTGGCGCAGATCTAAAGACCCAGATTTTCCACCACCTTGATGTGGTGACTGCACCTGTGTCAGCTCACGGCTGCTTCTCTCTGGTGAATTTGTCTCTGGGGATGTGATAGCACGGCTGTTGTTGCGAGGAGACCTTGCTGGTACTTGGCTCCTCCCTCTTGCTGTCAAAGACCTATCTCTGTAATGGTTCTGCAAAAATATTTAAGCATAAAACCACATTGAGACAGCAAGGCCCAACCAGAAAATTTTAACTAAAAAACAGAAGCAGCAAAATGACACCATGATGATGCAAGTTAGCACCAGAGACTAAACTTTATATATTCTCAGCATAAGTTTTAGAAGCCCAAATCCAAAGGCTTAGAATGAGTATACCGTGTTGTGATTGGGAAAGTATGTTCCCGTTCCTCGAGGCTTTGGCATTTCTTCCATTCCAAAGCCTGCACCAGGTAGCATTGATGGGTTCATGGGGTAGTACACTTGCCGTGGGACAACACTATTAGCATTCATTGGGGAAATTGCATTTCGCCTGAACTGCACTGACTGTCGTACTACATCCCATGAATTCTTGCTCTGGAGCTGAGAAGCCAAAGGTGAAATTGGAGAAACAGATGCATTTAAGGCATAATCATAGCACCACCGGCCATAAGACAAACTACGTAAGTGACTATCATGATCCCCACAGAGATCTGACAAGGAGCTCAAAGCTTCCTGACTTCCAGCAGCACTACTGGAAGTTGGATAACCAGAATATCCAGGATAAAGATCCTCTGATGACCAAGCTGAATTCACAACCAATGGAGGATGCTTTGATCCAACAGGGGACTGAACCCCTTGACAAACAACCAACTGATTCTCACAGTGATCACCATGTACATTAGTACCCATCTCATCACCAGTTGCTGGAAGAATGCCAGAAGTCACTTTCTTTTCAGCAAAGCCAGAATTTTCTGGCTGTTTGCATTCTGCATTTCCATTCCTTATATCTCCATTATCCAAAGATGAGCTATAGAAATAGAGATGAGGTGCATGCCGTACATTATCTGATGGAGAAACATTCTCCTCTGAATTTGGATCGAAAGATTTATGTGCATCATTTGAAATTACCAGACCTTGAATTCTGGAGGTTGCCAGGTCTTTAGCATCCCCAGAGAGACGGATTTCTGAAACACCCATACCGTTTGCAGAAGCTTGTGGTTCATTAAGGATTCTACTAAAATTTGTTTCCCTCCCACGGACGTTACCATTATCGACCTTGTGCAATGATCCCTCATTATCTGATCTATAATTCCCAGTCATGGTAATTGAATCTGAAGATTCTGTTTCATAAAAGGTTTGATCTTCTTGACATGACTCTGCACCTGAAACTGATGATGTTGCCCCAAATCCACTGAATCTAGACAAGGATGGGACAGAATCTTGAACATCAGGCCTCTGTCCACTTCCATGCCTATCCAGAGTGTTTGAGAAAAACTTACGAAGTTCATCAGCCATGCTTTCTTCCGCCTGGGAAAGGATCTTTCCCAGCTTCCGAGCCCCATAAGTGAAAGCGCTTCTTATACGATAAAAGTTCCCTACAGAGGAAAAGCTACATTATGATTGACCTTTAAACCCTCTTGATCAGTCCTAGAATCACTAAACAACCATTAAATGAAGCCTGAATATCCTTTTTGTCACAATAGCTGAAGAAAAATTTCTGCTATCCTCAAGGCTTTAAATGTTTTGAATTCAAATGAAAAGAATAATGAAATTTGCCTATGGAAAAGTGATTCTACCTTTGCTAACACTTCGACCAAGATTATTGTTTTCTCTTAAAGGATCTACTATGTTTAGATGCTTTTGAGGGAATGTGCGTGAATTAGTCTCAAATCCCCTTGACGGAACTGAGAACATTTCCACACATTCCTTGAGAAAATCATTGCTAAGCAGTAAATCTCCCCCACCATTTTCAGGCGTCTCAACTGCAAAAAGAAAGGATCAATGACATAAGCATCTTAATCATGTATAGAGAAGAACAATAAAATTTGGCATGAAAGCAAAATGATGTTGCTCACCCACAACTTCTGGCAGGGAGGAGATATGGATTGGACCATTCAAACTAATGCAGTAATTGTCCCAATCAAATTTGCTAAAGTAATCCAAAAATTTATATAAAACCTGCAACATATTCAATCAGTTAAATTCATGTCATCAATTGGTTTACACTGCCAAAACTCCTGCAGCACTCACCGCTAAAGGACCATCTAGTGATGAGTGAAATAGATGGAAAATGTACAGCACCAGAGTCTCCAACGCATATGTAGATATCAAGCCATGATGAGCCCCAAGAATACGGCTCTCATAGTAGCACCAAGCCTTAATCAGTATAATGCTGCGTTTAAATAGATGATCTTTTCCAATAAGACGATCAACCTGTAACATTATCACGGATTTCCTTTTTTTTTAAAAAAAAAAAGACAACCAAACACATTTCTTTTGATACCTAATACAGCATAGCCACCCGCATGCGAGCTCTCCCAATACATGAATATATATGAAAAAGATATAATAATAGAAATCTTATGTCTGTACTCCGTAAATTAATATTAACATAGATCTGCAACATTAGTACATAATATCAGGAAGGGGAAGAGTTGATTGCCATCTATTTCATGAGAGAGAGATAATAACTGGGGGAAGTAGACACAACCTATTAATCAATAATGCTAAACAAAATATGAACAATTGCAGTAATTATCTAGTAACTCTCCTTACTTGACTTGGTAAGGTTTCAAAGTCCTAGAAGACTATATTCATCACTCAAGTTTCTCACTCAATTGCAATCGATGCACTTTTTCCTTTCCAAATGTGAAAAATAAAACCACAAAAGGCACCAAAGGGATCCCAACCAAGAAACTTAAAGAGATGTGTCTGAATCAACAAAGCTTCCAACATATACTAGCGACTAGACATTGCAGATCAATTCTTTTTCTTTTTTTATTTGCATATCAACTCAATTAACATGCAAGAAAATGGCTTTCATTCACACCCAAATTCTTAAAATGCAGCCTACCTGCTCAAGAAAGCACAGGGTACATAGCCCCCCTAATTGATTGAAAGAGATATCTACCACAATGTTCTGTACTAGACACTTTACAAGCTTAACCTGCCACCAGAGAAGCAAAATTTTAAGATAAAAAGCTACACATGATATCAAATGGTTTTTAAATTGAAAATTGTTAATAAAAAAAAATTATCTGAAATGATAAACATGAGGAGGATCTTATATAATGCAGGAGCAACGGATATGCAATCATTTCCATAATGCATACCAATCAAATCTGGGATGGTAAAAAAGAACACACAGTAAAATTCTTGCATAGTTAAAAAACCAACATATTTTAATAAAGCCATGGATGTTTAATAATCTATTTAATGAGATTAATCTCCTACTCTCTAACATCACCAAGCTAAAATCTGTTCATACTCCTCATGAAGCAAAATTTTCACTAACACCCTTGCTACACCGGTTGTTTACAGAGAAGGTTATTTAGTTGCTTCAATACTCTAGGTTAACCACACCTTAGTTCTTCAACATGCTGATTATTACTCCCAGAGTCAAGTTGTTCTGTTGTCATCTTTGTACTCTGACTTCCAATTGCCTTTTTGCTACTCTTCTTGTCTGGTAATTTCTATTGGGCTACAATGAGCAGGTCTGGGCTGCTGATTGACTAAGCTCCCTGATGCCTTTTTTGTTTGGTTTTGTGGGAATATCCAGTTTTCTTAGTTCTGTAATAAAATTGTTTTTTCTTTTCAAAAAAAACAAAGTGCTTATGCCATTTGAAAAGAAAAGTATAGACATCTCTCAATCAAACATGTGACAACCGACAAAGTAATGTTTGAACTAGGGGGAAACCAGGCAGGGATGACAAGATAATAATATACTTGTGAATGCAATTAGAGCTTTCCTTTAAATGTGCCATACTAGTATAAAAGTAAATCATGCCAGGGGCTGTCTCTCCAATCACCTTATTTGTTTACTGAGTAAAAGAAAATTCAAATCAACTAATGAAAAGAAAAGAAGAAAAAAAAAACTTACAACCCTCAAAAGTTTGCTCACATAGAAGCTTCAGCAAGAGCAGTTCATGCAGATAAAAGTGTGATATACCATAGTCCATAAATTGACAAATAAGATCAACTTGATAAGCTGTAACAAAGGATATTTCTCTCAGGGAAAAACAAGTTCTTGGCTGCAAACACCACTATCTAATATTTATAAAATGAATGGTTGTGACAAATATCAGAATTGCATAAAAGATGAAGGGTTGAACTCTTACTAAAGCTTAGAGAAAGTAGCTGCAAAAAAAAAAAATAAAGAAATAAACTTTATTGATGGAGGATGCAATTATCCTAGTTGAGGGATTGAGTTATCTAGTACTTTGTATTATTATACACGAATTTGGCTGTAATCTTTACATACATTTAGGCTACATTTTAGATGATCTAGGTTATTTTATATTAATTAATATTTTGTTTATTTTTGAAGTATTATGGTTTTAGGGTTATATGTGCTATTTTGCATTTTATTAGGATTTTGGGTTTATTACCTATGTTATTTTAGTTTTGATTAGGTTTTGGATAATAATTATTTGAGATTTTTTTATATTGATTACTGGGATTCTCTCCCTCTATTGATTCTTTGTGGTTTTATCCCCTATGTTCTCCCACTGATTCCTTGTTCCTCCCAAATTGTACCTGTAGAGCATAGTAACATTTGCTTCAATCTACATCACTTAATAAAGGTTTTACTTCTGCTCTTGGGAAATCAAAATACAACTTGGAGACATGTATTTATAATTAATGATAAGACATGAGGCACAAGTTCCAAGGCATCATTTACAAGGAAGAGAGATTGGTATGTATACCATTATTCGTTAAATCAAACATTACTATGCTCTAGCGGTGAGCTTGTTTGTATGATTAAAAAGACCCATTTGTACCATATTCTCTGGCTCAAAGAACCTCTAGTGCATCGTCAAGGAAGCCAAAGTACAGCCTTCACCAAGCCAAATTTACAAGTCACGTATAATGCCTTAGATTATTGTTGCCTCAATTATCTCTATGCCAAAGTATTAATAGTACTTCAAATGCCTAGAATCAATTGATTTGCAACAACTATCTTTCTACTCTACAGGTGCAAAGAATCAAGGATTGTCCTTTGAACTTTACAACACACCTCACCCTCTCTATCCATCTACAAATAACCCAGAATAATGACCCCATGCGAACAAGCAGGCAATGAGCTAATGCAACTGCAACAGTCTATAAGTTAAGTTTTTCCTTTGTCGATATTGAACTGCTCCTTCTACATTTAAAATTTTGGACCTTGTTCAAGAATGCCTTTTAAACAAGGTTCAAAAACATACACAAAGGCATCAGAAGCTTACTTGATCGTCAATTAACTTGACATAGGAGCTCCATTTAAGTATGCATGACTTGACAAGCGCAGAAAGATATTATAAGCAATGTTTGTAAGTGTTCCATACAAACAGTTATCAGTTACATCAGTTGCCCCTATCAACCAATCAAAACATCCAGCTCTCAATAATCAATTACCTCATAGGTTCAACCCACCCAAATCAATCATTAAAGCCTCCATCAAGTGCACTAGAAATAGTTGTTACCCTCAACAATCATCAACAAAATGCTGCAGTTAGGAGAAATTGTTGAGTCGTCATCCTCCCAACTCCACCTATATAACTACAATTTCTGTTTAAAAGTAAACTTAAAATCTCCAAAACTCTAACCAGCAACAAAAGCAGAGATGACCAGACAAATTATGCACAAAGCCTAAAGTGGAAAATGTTAATGTGGTCTTCACGTGTATAACATTTAGTTGGGAGAAAATCTTCCATGAGGATAGCATATATGTCCATCTGAGCATAGAAATCATTTGTCATTGTCTTTTTCCAGAAACAGCATTCATCAAAATGACAAAGGGAATACTTGTAAATGCATCAAAGTACTTTACAGCTCAGTTGACCAGGTAATAATGACACTAAATAAATGGTCACGGCGGGGAAATTCAAAATGCAGACAGATGTAAATGTCAACGAAAAATAAGGGATGACTAAAACGAATGCAAACAAGTTGTCACTTAAGCAAGCAGCAAATAAATAATTTGACTAAGCAAAGATCTGTAGAAACATATTAGTTGAAGTTAAAAACCTCTGCCCGAATTAATTGGACATCCTTCACCACAAACTCAGCAGCTCTGTTGTGATCTTCTCTTTCAAGGACAGAACATACATCATTGGACAGAGCCTCCTCAAAGTTTAGGCCACCAAAGGCTGTCAAATCAATATCTCCATCAGGAAGATAGGTCTTCAAGGGGACTGACCCAAATGGAAATACCTGCAATAAATATAAGCAAGATAAATGATTAACATCTATCTAAACTGTTCACTAATTCATATTGAATGTTCTTACGTTCATGATCACATCAATAAATAACAATGAAACAAGAAACAGAAAAACAGGAAAAAATTTAAATATGAAATATATGTCACCATGGAAATTATTGAAATAAAATGTGCATATTACACAGTTATTAACAGCTAGGTTCCTTTCAGCTGCAAATATTAAATGATAACTTCCCCAATCGATTTTTACAATCTTAGGTAATTGCAACTAAGGGCTCTGACAACTTGAAGTGAGTTTAATAAAAATAAACACCCCCTTTATAACCTAACTCAAGGAAAGTGAACTGAGGTTGACCAAAAGCACCCCGCCAATAGCCTTTTCATTCCATCCAGCTCCCAATAGATGAGAAGTCAGCTAAATTTGACAGTCATAACAATGGAACAGTAACATGATAGAAGCCTTATCAGTGTAATAGAATTCTCAAGTTCCACTTGGGTTAATATCTACAACAAGATTAACCAATGACATACACTCCACTTTCTACATAATCAACTAATGGAACTTCACTTTGTCAGAAACCACATTACCTTACATCCAAAGAGAGGTTCCTTAAGCGTATTGAAACTGTTTCTTATAACAACAACAAACCACCGCCATTCTTCATTTCAATTTAATCAATAAATACTAACCCTATTTTATCTTAAATTAGGTTTCTCTTTTCCTATTACTCCAAATTACAAAGAGTTCAGTTTAAGCTCTACTCCATTCTAAATTCTTGCCCTAGTCAATATAGCAAATACGGTAGTAATTTCCAAGTAAATCACCAATTCAACAATGTTAACATTCTGTCACACAAAAATAATAAAATTATAGCACAATATAATCGATAACTAAAAGCTTAAACTATGTTTGATCATCTGACCTCGCAACCAAGGTAATTCCTAATTAGTCTCTGAACGTAATCAATAACCGCTTTTCTTCTCTCTTCTGAAACAACGGTTGGTTGAACCTGGGCAATGATCCCCTGCGTCGCTTCCTCAGCCTTTTTCCAATACTCCGCAGCAATCCCCGCTTGATTCGACGATGAAGACGATGACGATGACGACCTCTCCTCCGAAGCGACGCCGTTTGGTTCAGGCGACCAATCTCGGAGATCGCCCATCAAAAACATCAAAAACCTCTCTCCTCCAATCGGAAACCAATTTCCCCCGTCAAGCCCAAATAGAACGTCCGATCATTCACGCACTCCGATTCGCCGCCGCCCCAATCCAACGGCCCTTCTTGATCTAAAAACGATTTCTTTTATTATTATTATTATTTTGGATATTTTGGTCTTGCACGATCAGGGTTTCAAAAGGGGGAGAAAGGAATAAAACGGCAAGGGAAATTACTACGAAACGACGGTAAAAACTGTGGATTCTTTTTTGAGTGGAAATTTGGGTGGTGGTAAAAAGGGAGAATCCAACGAGTGCGACCCCCGGAGTTATTAAAGATTTTTAGGGCTTTGTCAATTGATTGTTGAATATTTTTCCTTTTCATACTATCATTTAAAAGTTTTATAAATTAACAATTACATATTGTCATTTATTTTTTGCAAAATGTTGATATATATGTTTAATATTTAAAATCACCTTTGCTTCTTGAAATTTCTACATTTTAAATAACTTTTCAAGAAAAAAATTATAGTAAAACGTTTAATAATTTATAAAAAAGACTATATAATGGTTAAATAGAATAAAGTAATAAACAGTAACAACTTTTCAGTGTGAAAATAAAAAAATAAAAAAATAATTGTGATAATATATAAATATGTATAAACATAAAAACACACATATAAAATTTATTTTTTTATTTTAAAAAAATATATCAATCAATAAATTAAATATTTAAATATAAATACATATAAATTTTTAATTTCTCACGTTACAACAATCAAAATCATTATATTCTTTAAGATAAAAATTCGGCTTTTGTTCTTTCAACTCCTAATGTTCAAATATTTACCTAATAACCTTTTCGGAATGTTATTAATAACGTTAACAATATTTACTACTTTGTATATCTGGTACATTTCTCTTTTTTTTTTTGAAAAATTGCCAAGTACATTTCTTTTATTTCTCCTTTCATTTTGGTACAAAATATTATTATCAATCATTTATCAGTTTAAGAAATCAACTTAACTTGTGATTTATTTATTATATTTTTCTAAGATATGCTGTAATATTAGTCGTATTTAAAGTTAATTAAGATATTATTTATATTAAAAGCAATAATCAATAAGTAATATAACGAATTCAATATATTAAAAATATTATATAATTTAATATGATAATCTTAAAAATTGTACTTACAACTCTGGTTAATAAACATTTTTTATTTGTAATTAAATAAATACGTGTCAATCATAAAAACATGTTTATAAAATTTACAAACTCCATCATTAATGCATAAGATATTTTTCTTTACTTTATCACTAAATATGAAGTTATTTTGGAAAGTAAATAAAAGATGAGTACCATTCGTTGAATAACTCAAACTTAATAAACTTTGACTTACACATAAATAAAATTGTTTTATCCAAAACTTCAACATAAAATGGACAAAGACCCTATTAAGTAGTCTAAAGTCAAATTTCACTCATTTAATTATTTATTAAATTTTAATTTTGCAAGCAATGTTAAGTTGTTAACTCAAATCTAGCGATTCTCAGTACTTTAAGCCTCATACAATTCTATATATTTTTTTAAAAAGGCCTCACTAATACTTTATATTAGTTTTTAAATAAAATTCTTTTCCTACTCAGTTAGTTGCTTTTACCATTGCAAACATATTTTATTAGGATAAAAAAGGTTACAAGACTTGAAATGTTAACATTTAAATGATATATTTAGACAATGAATCAAAAAGAATTCTTTTATTTGATCATGAAGCAAACTTTAAGTATCTCAGAACAATTTATGTTACACAAAAACTTAAATACACTTTTATTTAAATTATAAAACTTAAATACACTTTTATTTAAGGTGTAATTCGCATGTGAATAATTTATTGGATCTTAATTTATTTTGAAAAAAAATTATAACATATAAGCATACATTTAAAGGAAGCTTTAGTGTATAATTGAGAGACAAGTGAAACCATTTTGGATATCAAATGCCTTGATGGGTATGGGTGCATTATATTGGGCTATTGGGAGCGCCGACGAAGTTAAAGTTGTAGTCGTCTTTTTTTAATATTTACTTATTATTATTATTATTTACATATAATATAATTTTTTTAAAATTTTTTTTAATCATCTTCATACAAAATCTAAATTCGTTACTAATTGAGAGGGTGCTTCATGGGGTGAAAGTTTTGGAGTAGGATTCTTGAGGTTTTTTTTTTATTATTACATTATTCTTCCTTTATATATATATATATATATATATTTGTTAGCTTTGAGTTTCGAATTCTGTAATTTGAACATTTTAAAGAGGAAGATTGCTTTGATAATACATTTATTTTCTTCATTTCTAATTTTATTTATTTTCTTATGTTTACCAAATACATTTATTATTTTATTCTTTTTGCCTAGTTTTAATGTTTAAATATGTATCATTTATTGTCTAATTCTTTTAATAAATTTAAGAAAATGTGTGTTAAGGATGTAATATGTTGGTGGAGATCCATTTGAAACCTCTTATTTTCAAAATATATTTGTTTCAATTGACTAAATAACCCCTGTGATCCCCAAACTTATAATGTTATAACTAGTAGAACCTTTGGTTTGCATTTTCATCAAATTAGCCGTTAAATCCTAGCTTGGATGATAATGTGATTCTTAAAATACTGAAGTGCTTAAAAGTTTTGGATTTGTTAATTGATTTTTTGGAGTGACTTTTTGCTTTTTAAAATTGGTTAATAGTAAAAAAAAAACTCTAAAATACCAAAAATAACATCAAAATCAATCCACAAATCTAAAATTTTTAACCGCACCCCTAGACATCTTAGTATATTTGGACATTTAATCATTAACGATAAAATTAATGAATAAATATGACAACCTTTTAGTCATCTATATACCTATATTTAAAAGAAACGGCAAAGAGCTCCTGTCTTGACATTTGATAAGATTTTGGCTTGACATGTGATTAAGTTTTTGAAGTGTAAGCTTGAGGCCTGATGGAGTTATGTTTGTGGTTAGATTTTTTGGGACGTAAGCTTGAGGTTTGATGGGGTTAACTTTGGATGGTTTTTGACTTGACATGTGGTTAGGTTTTGAGATGTGGGCTTGAGGTATGATGACATTGGGTTTGTGGTTGGGATTCTGAGGCATGGGCTTGAGGTCTAATTGAGTTAGATTTGGATTATATTTTTTTTCTCTCACAATTGATGTTGTAGATTTTTTTTTTTAACTTTTTATACGTGGGACACAAAATCCATTGAATTTATTAAGGGTCACATGCTTTCAGATTCTTTTCCGTTTTCTACATTTCTCTTTCCCACTTATTTTAAATTTAAAGATTTTATTTAAAATTTTGTTTTACAGAAAGACTTTTATAGATGTGTTTTATATGAAAGCACCAACATAAATACCACCGTAATGGCTATAGTAATAACAGTTATATATTTTGTAAAATAATATTTTATATATGTCAATATACACTAACAATTAAATATGATAATATAATTATTAATACATATCTATTTAACAAAAATAATGTCAATTCAATTAAACAAAATTCTATCTGGAACCCTCGCACAAGCAGCAGACTAATAACATTAAGAGTTTTGAGATCAATAAATAACCGTTGAAATTACAAATACCAAACATGATATATGATCCAAATTTTGATAGCCATGGGTGCTATTTACTAGTTAAAATTATTATAAACTCAAATATTAGTCAATTTAACATCTTAGATCATAATAATTAGGGCTAACTTAACCAACTTTTATAGGTGTCAATAATAGAGGAATAAGAGTTAAAAATTTAAAAAATTAACACGTTGAATTTAACTAATAATTAAAAAATTTATAATATAAAATGATTTTATCTAATATGTAAATCAAGAAAAGAAAAACTTATAATAATTATTTAAAAAAGTTATGCTCCACTGTATTTTTTATATTCAAATATTATAAAAAGTTCTACACATTCACCCCACCACACATATTAAAGCTGTTGTTAAATGCACACCACATAGTTTGATTCCGACCTTTACAAATTATTTTTGCTATCATCTCTTGAATGCAAAGTAAGCTTGCATATTCCTTATATGCTACGTCCTAACGTGGCATTTGAAAACTCATTTTTTGGAGAAGGTACCTTTCTTCCATCTCATCATATTTTTTGGTATCATTAATTATTGATTATATATTAAAAAACATTCATTTCTTTAAAATTGAGTTTTCGATATTTTGATTTACATTACTCTTGTTCTTGAGTTGAAGTATTGAGACTTGGTAGTTCAAGTGTAGGAGAGTCATTTGGATAGTTTATATATAATTTTTAAAAAATTTATCAATTATTTTCAACTTACTTATACTTTAATCAAATTTGAAAAAAAAATTAATGTAATCAACTTCTAATATTCTGATTTTATCTATATTTAACTTATAATACTAAATGTAAAACTATAATGCATTAAATATAATTAGTTAAATACACTATACAAAATTAATAATTTTTTATTATATAATCAAGATTGTTTAAAAGCTATATATTTAAATAATTTCTTTTCAACTAAATATAAAACGTTAAGTATATAAAAAAAGATATACTTAAGATAATTTCCTTTTACAGAATTAAGATTAATTAAAAATGATACATTTATGAAATTTTAAATAACAGTGTAACATTATAATTTATATTTGAAAATTGTATAATAATTTATTAATTTTTAAAAAATAAAATAAAAAAAATAAAATCTATATAATAGAAAAAAAAAACATGACAATTAGAAAATAAAACTCGCATATGATATTATAAAAAAGAAAGAAAAAATATACTGATAGGTTGTAAAAATTTGAAGAAAAAACTATAGAAACTTAGAACATATGAGCAAATATAATAGAAATAAAAAAATAAATATAAATTAAAACAAATATATAAATTAAAACAACAAAACAAAAAAAATTTAAAATTGAGAGAGACATGTGAGATCATTTTTTTATTCTTTACTTATATTAATTATTAAATAAAATATTATTTTGAGAAGCATTAAGAAAATATATAAAAAATTTTAAAAATGTTATATAATATAGAAAAAATTTTAAATATTTTGACGGCAACTCTTCTTTGGCCTCTCATATTTATCAAAATGAAATTTAAAATTTTAATTTTAAGATCTTAAAATTAAATTATAAATGAGATTTGTAATATATGAGATAATTATATTTTATTATTTAAGAGAAGAAAGAATAGTATTCAATGTTTCTTTTTATTCAGAAGGTCAGTCAAGCGAGTCAATCTTATTAATATAAAATAATATTTTTTGTCCAATTAAGTTGAGAAAAATTCATTAAGTACAATATTTATCTCATTTTTTGTTAATATAATAATTAAAATATTTTATTTTACATAATTATATAATAATTAAAATATTTTATTTTACATAATTATATAATAATTTTTTTATTAAATCTTTTTTAAAAGACAATTAACTTTGATTTGAATCTATTTCGATTTTGATACCTCACGTTAATTCGGGTCTCCTTAACGTAAAATCTGTTGCCAGAAATCGCAAATTATTGAAGGGTCGGTAAACTCTATTATCAGATTCAGTCGAAAAGGGGTACTTCTCTTTAAAAGACTCCAGCTAAAAAATATCGAACAAAATGATGAAAGCAGAACAGTTTTGGGCTTCCGGCTCCCCATTAGACCCCACGGCCCAAGCGGATTCGATCGAAAAGAAAGAAAGGAAACAAGTGTTTCGTACGGGCAGCATTTGGAATTCCATTGCAGTAAAAGAAAGAGCAGCTGACGAGAAAATTGCACAAAAATGGCGTCTCTGCTTCTATTAATTTTTCTGTCATTTTCGCTTCCTTTAATCTCCGTTGCTTACAGGCCTGGGGACATCGTTCCCATGAGCAAGATGGGCCAGTACCACTCTGTTAGTTCTCTTTTAATTTCTTTTTCTATAAAATCTTAATCTCTACTTGAAGTTGAGATCTTTCAATTTTGCGGTTTCAGTCGAGAACTGTTTGGCATGACGTGATTGGGAAGCATTGCCCCATCTTTGCCGTTAATCGCGAGGTATTATTATTCCTTTTCTACATTGTCCATTTTTTTTTGGTCTTTAAAACTTTTGCTTTACATATATAAAAGAATTGCAGGTGTTGATTCCTATAGCAAAGCCGACTGGTTACACGGGCGCTGATCCCTACAAAATGTGAGAATTTATTCAAATTATGACACTTTGGTTTATAATTACAATCTTTTTTTTTTAATTGTCGTAATTTGTAGGGTTTCGCTCCTTCGATAGTAAAATGATAAAAAATTTAGAGAAAGAGGAGAAGGGGTTATTGCTTACAATTTTTAGAGTTTAGCAAGAAATGAAACTATTGAATTCAATACCTCGGATTCAGAATGAAATATTTTTGAAAATGTTGCTTAATTCTTTTTTTTTTTTGGAATAAGCCTTTTGCAAACTGTGAATAATGAGTCTGAAATTTAGACTCTTGAGTGAACTTTTGAGACCCTTTTCTGTTATATTTTTATCCCCAGCTTTCCACTCCAAAAATGCTTTCATAAGCTTATGTTGACAGTTGTCTAAAAACCGTACTTTGCTTCTGCATAAGATGATTTTTCTAGATCATGAACGGATAAGTTTGGGATCATTTTTGTTTAGTTTCTTCTAATTGTTAGAGTGATTCATGCTTTATAATGTTTGACTTACATGTAGATCATTCCAAGTTGGGAAGGAGAAGTTTCTAGTTCCATGGCTTTTTTTGATAAATCGTAAGAGTTCTGAAGTTCCAATGATTGATATGCATTTGGTAAGATATCTTTGTAGTTTTAACCCCTTGCTTTTGGTAATTGTGACTTCCTCGAACATCATGTTTCTTTTGGGGATTGTTCCTGTCTATTTTGCATGATTTGACTTAGTTTTTGAACTTCTATGTCATGCAGAGGTACTCAGGTGGCGATTTGCATGGTGTCACTGCTAAAATAGTGGATATGCCTCATCACTGTATGTAATATTATCTTTATTTACGTTTCAGTGTAGTACTAGTTTGCCAAGAAATAGAGAGATATATATCTAATCATGCTTGAAGATATGCTTTTCTTCCCCTACTGAATTTATTTGATATGAGTCTCTTGGGTATCTATGGAACTTCATATGACCTGTCCAAAATAGTTTAGATGATTTTTACTTATCACACGTGGCATTATTTTTTCCTTTTAAAAGAACAAGAAGGCATTTGTCCAGGACCATTCCCAGTAACATAAGGCACAGTGTAGTATTTGTTGCTTTTTTTTCTCTTCTCTATATGCTCTATTGGAAGTTAGAGCTTGTTCAGAAATTAAAATGGTTGCAACATTTTTAGAGAACTCGTGGTCAAATTTGTTCTTGGATCAGGAGAGATGGGAGGATAACTGCTTTGAAAATAGATTCACAGCCTTGTTGTACTGTGCAATTTGGTTATCTGTGAATATCGAACAAAGATTCTTTTCATATTTATTAGTTTCAGAATAACATATCCAGGGCTCCCAACATATAATAGTAGTTCCTATATTTCTTTTACAGTGAGTTGACCTGAACCTCTAATTATCTTTGTCTTCAACAGATGTTGAAATTCATCCAAATATTCGTAAACAATTCTGGGATCCTCAACATTGGCCTAAACATGTGCTCGTCAGATACACCTGGTCAGTATGCTTCTTGTTGAAATCTTTCTAACTTTTTCTTTTGTTAGGCTGGATTTGAAATTTAGTCTGCTTTTAAGTTTCAGAAATTTGTGAGGTGATACTTTGAAAAAGATATTATGATTTAAAGCAAAGGAGAGAGTATCTCTATTGTAGCTTAATATGCTTAACAGTACCTGCTTTAACCGCAGAAACCATGAGCATGTTGAATGACTAAACTGAAAGCTTTAAATGCGGTGGAACACTAAGTTATTTTTGCCGAATTTTGTAATGTCATAATTCAATGATGTGCATGGGAAGCTCAACTATGCATGCCTTTCTATGGAGTTGTTTTAATGTTACTCAGAGTTTACTTTAGAACATTATACTTAGTATACCGTGGAATTGCTAGAATAAGTCAATAATTAGGAAATAAGATTGAACTTTAATTTTTTCTTATTTTTAATAAGATGTAAGTAAGCTCCCATTGTTTGTTTTGAAGTGTGACATGGTTGTGATGGTTATATGACAGGGAGGAGCAATCAGAGATAGATGTGGCGTCTGGATTTTACGTTCTGTTCGGATCAGGTAAAAGCTTTACACTTAATTTAAGGCAGTATATCTGTTTATTATGCTCTGTGCTGGTTGTACATTCTAGTTCCTGAAACACAAAATGATCTGTTAAAATTATGAAATCATCTCAAATGCTAGCATAGTCGTTTGTGATAATCTTTTTCTTAATAGGTTCCTCTCTCTCATAGTAAGTTGTAGCCACAAGTAGTAGCAGCATTCATCATCACATATGTTTCAATTTAAAAGAGTTTTCCCCCATATTTGTTTTATTAGTGTATGTGAGGACTCTTCTTTTTCCCTGTAAAAAGTGAGGCATATTATGATCCTGATAGCAGGTCATCAGTTAATGCTTGAAGAATGTCACCTTACTGAGGGGAAGCCTATGATAAGCGTCCTTTTTGTCAAGCCATGTTAATTTTAGATCTGAACAATGTATAACAAATGCCTGAAGAATGTGAGAAATTATTTGCACAACCGCCACTAATTTTCATTTTTGTGTGTGAACAGGGCTGATGCTATCTTTTATTCTGTCAATATATATCTTGCAGTCATCAAGAGACAAATTAGCAAGGTAACATTTTATCTTATATGTTGTTTATCTAAAATTAAAAAATCCGCGTTCAAGGTGCAAGTAGTTTCCAATTGAGATGGTCTGCTGCTTAATATCTCTGTCTCTGTCTCTCTCATTTCACCTGAACACTATATATTTGTTTCCCAGGTTTGTAAGGGAGACTGTTGCAGAAAGCAGTGCACCTGGAGTCGGAGTGGCAAAGGTTGAGTGATGGAACCTCCAAAATGCTGCAATCCTCCATCTTTGAGAAAAAAATGCGGTCGTTTGCAGATGCGAAATTATGAAGGTAACCGGGGTGTTTAACAGCAAGGAGTTGGACCAAGGAAATGAAGGCTACTTGGTATGGGAATATTTATGTAGAACGCAGTTGAGTGAAGTTGGAATCCGACTGGGCACTGAGATAATTAATTGCTAGCTGAATGGTAATTAGTAAAAAAAAAAAAAGAGTACAAAGAACTAATACTTTGTAGTCTTAACTATAAACTATTCACATGATGTATACCCCCAGAATTTTCTTCTCCTTTGGTTGTACACACTGTTTCAAATTTCATGTTGAATACCGACATTCATCCTGCCCTGGGTTGAGATAGAGTTGAAGTCAGTGAGTCATTGTTCAGGCTGTGTCCATTTTGTTGACTTTGTTCTCAATCTTTGATCTCTAGACCAGGGAGCAAACTAGCTCACCACATTGCTCTCTTTTTCTCTCTTTGATCTCTCTATCATTGCCACGTTAGCACACCGTGTGTTAAAAGTCTGTCCTTGTTGGGACCAAAATTTGCCACCATGAGTAACATGTTCAAAATGTTGGTTCAGGGATCAAACACATACTCTCTTGTATTACGAGGACAAGGCTGGAGATATATTTGGTTAAAAAATTAAAGCAATGGAGAACATAAATTGGAATAAAAATTAAAGAGAGTAGAGATAGAAGAGAATACACAATCGATTTATAGTGTAGTTTGATCCTATACAAGGTATTTACGTTCAGGTTTTGGGGAAAACAATTTAATACTTTTGGAGCTTAATCTTTCCAATCTCATTTTTGAAGGCTAAAACAACATTTAGACCAATTTTTGTTATGAAAAATTGACTATTGACTCTAAGATGAAAATTTTTGACCCTTAGAAGTTTGAGAAGACATGATAGTCTGCTCTGTATTGACTATTTTAATCATAAATTGATACATGCTCTTGAAAACAAGTTTTAAGGTCAATATTTGTTCACATCATTTTTTTCTTTTTCAATTAATTTTCATCTATCTTATTAAATTTAAAGCTATTAAATTTCAATTATAAATTAATTTTAATTTATATTGATCATTTTCTGATGAAAATAGTGCATATCTTCACTATTTTAAAGTAGTGGAGAGGTTCATTATCCCTCTAACAATTAACTCTTTGACCTGTAAAATTGGTTAAATATGGATCTAAGGACAGCAAAAAGGGGGATTAATATGCAAATTGTATAATCTATAATTATCACCTCTAATGTTAGTAAAAAATTTCAAAGGGCTTATGCATCCTACAAGTCGTGAAAGGCCACCAAGAGGAGAGAAAAAAAAAAAGTGGTGAAAGGCCTAATCATGTGAAGACCATTTGCTGAACAAATCAGCTATTTAATTAATTACTTAAATTAAATAAGAAATGCCAAGTACTTTAAATTAGTTTTTATTATCTTCAAATTGCGTGGAGAAATTAAAACATTGTCGAAATAAATTAGCATAACCTCGTAAGTTTCAAAAGTTCTAATCATGTCATATGCAAAGTAGTTTTCTCAATTTGCATAGGGACAGGATGATTGAGCCGAGCTTACACATAGGAAGGATGAGTTTCTTTTATCAAATGATGAGATAAGATAAATTATAAATGGATTCTAAGCAGCCAATGGTTGGAAGCTATAGTGCTATACATTGGCAAAAGCCATCATCATGCCGTTAAAGACACATCTCCTAGCTTTGAAAAAGAAGGAAAAAAATGCCTTGTCCCATACCATGCATCCATCCAACAAGAAATCACCTCCTCTTCACACTAATCACCTATTTTTGAATCCTCAAGCTTTACTTACGATCGATGCAAATATTATCTCTGAACGTGTTGGATTGACATGTGTACAATTATAAAAATAATTAGTATTGAGTTACACAAAAAGAAAATGCATTTTTCATCTCACAAATTTTACTTTATTTATTTCAAAATTCAAATTAAAATCTTATATAAAATATCAGTTTAAGGACGTTTGCTACGACAAGAAAGGCAATAAAGAATTATAGCAGCAACTAACAAGTTGGAGCAACTGTTTTTCAGTTCCCTGAGAGCATATGCTGAAAGATTGGTTGGTCCCATAGGGCATCTTTCGTACAAAGGAGGGGTTCCTCAAGCCCTCCAAAACGTGATGGTCCCGATAGAAGGCCAACATGGGGATGGGAGGGGTGCAATATTTGAGATGGCACGCCTGCATGCCAAAAGTACGGCCATCTCTCATCTTAATTCGCTTTAATTTCTTTATAGTTCCATGTCCAGAAGCGAGTGCAAGATTTCAGACACTTTGTTGCAATTGAAAATTCAGTATATAGGTTAAGCTGAGAATCAATGGATGTCAAGCTGGACAAAAGGTTCATGAATGATTGTCAATGTCTCTATTCAATGGAATATATAAGGAACCCCTTGTTGCCGAAAGTTACCAAGATTTTGATGGGGAAAAAGAGAAACAAATTAACATTGGAAATAGAATAAAAAGAATAAAGGGGATGGCTTGGTCTCTACTTATGCTGTATTGTATCTTAAATGAGGGTGTTTTATAGGGCAATCGCCATCAGCTGCTTTTGGTTTGATTTGTGTCACTTCTCATTGGCTCCTATGTGAAAGTAATCCCCATATAATAATAGAGTTAAAACTAAAGCTGTCTCTTTCAAAGTGTCATGGCATCCAACCAAGTCCTAAGACACTTGCCTGATTGAAAGTTTTGAAACTCAACAATTTAGGTGAGTGTAGGGGAAAGGGGAACATGGCCATTATCACCCATCATTCTGTTTCTTAAGCCCACAAATAATTGAGGCTGGGACAACCAATGAAAAGGGGAAGCATAACCCCATTATCATTTACTCTCAAAAATACAATTAAAAATGACAACAAAAACAAGCATTTCACATTTACCTTTATAGTTTCTATAATATTAGTTACTTAATTCCCATGACGAAAATTTCTTTCTTTGCAGAGGCTTTCAAAGCTTCAATTAGAATGCTTTCTGTACACACACCGTTTTGGAGAATGGAAGAGCCATTTTAATATAAAAATGCTTTGCCTCTAGCTGCCATCCTAGGTGGAAAGAAGTCATCAAGAAATTAAAGTCAGTGATTAGGAACTCGGTGTTTTAATTGTCAGATCACCAATTGCATGATTCTGTATAACCTTTAAGCTGAATTTTAGAGCCTGGAAAGGTCTTCAACTTCAAAAGCTTCGGCTAAGAAAATGATTTGATATGACATAATTATTAAAGAAACCACCCACTCACAATCTTGATTTCTTCTTAAATTAAATCAATCCTTCGTCACAAAACAAGAAAATCTGACTCAGGACCATCATGTAGCATATTATTAAACTAAAAAGGAAACGTACGAGAATAGAAATTATTCTCTATCTTTTTCTCTTGATAATTTTCCCTGAAATCAAAATTAAGTAATTGTCAACATATACATAAATATTATATCAAAAAACTTAAATAAATATAAAACCAAACTAAATCCACACATAATAAAATTTAAACGTAAAATCTAAAAATTAAAAAAAATTCTTTCTACCTATGGCTTCTCGTCCTTTTTTTTTCTTGCTCAAGGGTAGATAAAGTTTTACATTGATTTCAAATTCCTAGATTTACCTAGAAATTGTATATAGATATTTAAGTGCTTGAAATTTACTCTCGTGCTTAACTAATATATACTATTTTTTGTACGTATATAACATGAGGAAAAAAGCAATGATAGTACGTAGAACAGCTAAGAAAGAACTGAAGAACACTGAAAGCCATGGTGGAATGGACAAGCCGCATTGGAAAAAGGTCAGCAGTGACCAGATTGAGAATGAGGGACAAATGAAGAAATTAAATTAAGCAAACTGATTAGAGTTAATTCTTGTAATTGGAATTATGTCAGTGGAGAAACGGTCTCTAAAGCTTAAACTGAAAAAGGTAGATTATTTTACTTAATTTAACAATTCTTCTATTTTCGTTTGTCTTTGGTGTTCCCTTCCCCTGGTGGTGGGCTAGACTTGTTCATCCACTTCTGCTTAAATTATGATTTCCATGAAGTGCTAAACATTCTTGAGTTAGGTACAGTCGGCAAGTGGAATGCATGATTTGACTGCAAAGTAAAATTTATAATGCAAGTGTTTCGTAAATACTAGTAAAACTTTAACTATATATATATATATATATATAGCATGACGTTTCTGTCAACATTTTATCTTGATTTCTGGCTAACATATTTTAGGCTGCCTAAGAAACTTTTATTCCCACTCACGTCTTGTCATGTCTGGAGATAATAATTTAAATTTTGTTGCCAAATGGGTTTTAATTTATTTATTAAACTGTATAAAAATATTTAACCTCGGGCTCGCTATCTGTTTTATGCTGATTATTCAGAGTATGCCAATATTTTTTTTTTGTAGATTCAAAGTCTCCATGGGTATTTGGAATGGCCGTCATTGGCTACATTGCCCTTGACAAACTTTACGTCAAACAAGCGTTTGATTACTATATTAAAATGTTTTAAATTATTGGCCAAAAAGAAAACCATGTTTATCATTTGTAGGTGACAAACATGTTAGTAATTATGGAGCACCATCATGATAGGACTCTTAACGAAAACCAACCAAAATTTACAGACATCTATGTATAAACCATAAATCTTAACATCACAAAATTTTTGTTAGATATGTTAGTAGTTAAAACTTGAGATTCTAATTTGAAGGTTTTACATGTAAAAAAAGTTATATAAATAAATTTTTTCTTTTTCTTTTTTTGTATTTTTTCCCAAAATCTATAAAACATAAATCTTAACTCTTGAGTTCTTTGTTGATCCATAAGCTGTAAATCATGTGTTTGAAGGAGATATTAAATGTATTCTTTAAGTACTTGTTTTAGCTATACATTTGGTTTTAAAATTAAATGCAACTAAGTCATTTATCTTAATTAAAAGCTTTTTTTTTATCTGTGGTACTAATTAGATTCAGATTATGTTTTTTTTTTTTGCATTCATTACATGCTCTTTGTTACTAGCTTTTTTGTAAAAAAAAAAATTAGCACACTATTCTCATAAATTCAAACAGGAATAGTATTTTAATTATTAAATTTTTTCTATATATATCACTTAACCAATGCCTATATTAAAAATTAACAAATATAGATGTATTGTGGAAACCAACATAATTTATTATAAAAGAAATTAACAAATTACTAAAATTTAAAATTAAAATTTAACATAACTCACTACAAAAAAAAACATTAAACAAATTACTAAAGATGTAGCTGACGTCCCAACATTCATAAATGCCAGCAATTAGTATGAAAAGTGCTCTAGACCCTGATTACTTAGTGGGGTTTCT